CGTTGGGAAAGGGCCCAATTTATCATGATATGTAGGATAGTTTACCATCTTGTGAACATCCCGGCGGATAGCTACTTACACCCAGCATCGTTGAGGACCAGAGGCCATACCCTGCGATTCCTGGTACCACACATAAGAACAGAAGTGTATATATAAGACCTCCTTCTTCCCCCAAGCCATCCGGCTGTGGAATTCGTTACCAGGAGGAATGGTGGAGGCCAAAACCCTAGACAGCTTTATGACTCACTAGTCCAGTGCCAGCCACTAAACATCACATCTCTGCGCTTTTAATATTTTAAACTTTTAATTTTATGAGCACTGTATATAGACACTCGCCCCCTCACGCAGAGTGCGATAATACTTTAGTGGTTTTGCACTGGGTGGGAAGAAGGAGAATCAGATTCGGTTGTTTTCTTAATGATAGACAAGCTGCTTGGCAGAACAACTCCGGTCAGCCATAATCCATAGGGTGTGAAATAAGACTTAGAGAAAATAGTGGGGGAAATGCTTCAAAATCTGTGTGTGTGGTAATGTAAAAACAATTTGCAGCTAATGTTAGAAACATCTTTTTTTTTCGTTTTAAACCAAGCCAATTTCAAACTTTTTAAAATGAAGATCGTGTTGTGAATCCAATCCCGTGAGCTCCACTCACCATCTAATGTCGCTACCAAATAGTGCCCCTGACACTAAACGTAAAAGGTCAAGACTTTAGAATCTAGTTTCACAGAGCATCTATCTTCACGAAGACGTATAACGTCATCTTCTTCGTTACCTGACATTTCGATCTTATTATCTGAAACGGCTACAAGTGACAACAATATTAAAAGTACTTGGACACAGATAAGTTAATATTTTCTGTATAATATCACGAATAATATAATTATTTAATAGCATTTCACACAAAATTAAATAAAAATCATTTAATTTAAAAGTTATCAAAACTTCAAATTTTTTGGCGGGTTTGATTGACACATCCTTGCACTTTCACAATTTTTTATTTTATTCTTAATACTTAGGAAAAGTGGCAATCTTGTTGTGTATAAATGAAAAATATTAATACTATAATCCAAAAAATTCAGAGTAGACATGTTCGAAAGCAAAACAAACACACAATATATTGTCAGTCCGTGCAGTTGTGGTGAGCAGACTTTGACGATTGTAATCGTAAACATCAACAATAACAGAACTCGTGCCCTGTTTACAAAAACTGTGTACATAACACGAGAGTGATCAACTGCACAGTGTTGTACACTCACATATTTAGCAGTCTGACAGATTTAAATGATATGGTAATTGTTTGTGTATTGCATTTGTACCTCACATTTTTTTGCACTTTATAAATTCATATTGTGAGTTTATCAATTTTTTTTCTAAAGCTGTACGTGTAACACACACATATATATATTACAATAATATATGTTCAATTGAATTCTGTGGCAAGTTTGAAAGATTAAATGGTAACTGTATAGCATGTGAAACACACTCTTAATCAAGGTATCATGCTAACTTTTACTCTCACTTTTTGATGCGTCCGGATCAATAGATCCAGTGCGTATACTATTTTTGTCCTGTCTGTCTGTTTGTCTGCAAACTTATACCTTCGCCATAACTTTTGAACAATGAAAGACAGAGATTTCGTATTTGGTATGCATACTCCACTAATAATGTTCTTTCAAATGACACCAAGATCAATGATCTTGTGACCTTGACTGTGACCTATATATGCTAAAAATAGCTTTTTTCCTGCAGACTTTACCTTCGCCGTAAATTTTGAACTTATTATAATTAAGATAGAGACTTCATTTTCGGTATGTCTACTCTACTAATTAAGGTCTTTTGAATGATACCAAGATCAATGACCTTGTGACCTATAAGCTAAAAATAGCTTTTTTGTCTTTAAACTTTAGTCTTCACCATAACTTTTTAACTAATGAAAGAAAAGGCGAGCAAGCTCACATACCCCATGCTCCCATTAAAACTGTGAGTGCTGAAATTCCCGGAAAAAATAAAGAAATCGGAATTTATATACCTTCGTCACCTGCATAGTATATATATATGTATCTAAGTTGATTCGATACGCAAGAGCTTGCTCTACATATGAATAATTTTTAAAACGAGGTAAATTATTGACAAGCAAGTTGATGAAACAAGAATATCAGTCGTCTTTTTTAAAGTCATCATTCATAAGTTCTATGGTCGATACAATGACCTTGTCAGCAAATACAATTTATCATTGAGTCAAATGCTGACTGACGTTTTTCATACTAATTGTTAGTCCATTATTTATACACTGAATTATAGTGTAGCAACTTGTTGCGTGGGTTATAATAAAGATAGAGACTTCATATTTGGTATGCGTACTCCACTATTAAGCCTTTTTAAATGATACAAAGGTCAATGACCTGGCGACCTTGCCTGTGACCTACTAGTATATACTAACAATAGCTTTTTTGAAACTTCATCATAACTTTTTGAACTTTTGAGAGATAGAGTCTTCATATTTGGTATGCATACTTCTTTCTTTTTCGTTCTTTTAAATAATACAAAGGTCAATGACATTGTGACCTTGACTGTGACCTATATGTTAAAAATAGCTGTTTTCTAACTTTGTCGTCGGGCGCATAGTGTTTCGAAGACATCTTGTTCACCTTCAACTAAGTTTAGGGTTTCCTGTGGTTACCTATCACTTTCTTTCAAGTTTAAAACCAACTTCTCCATTATTAGTTAAATCTTGTCCACAACAAATACAAATCATCAATACATGTCATCAATGGATAAAAGATAATTTATTAAGCAGCCAAGGACGGACAGACAGGGAAAACAGAAGAAGGGGAGACAACCTTTTCATCAACAATGTTCTTTTTTCTATTGCGGGTAGAGTAAAAACATTCATTGTAAAAAATCACAAACAGAAAAAATTATATACATAATACAAATATGTAAAAATAATAAATAAATTAACAAATCATAAATATCACAGTTGCAGATCTTTAAACAAAGTAATAAATATGATGCCCCTTATAAAATTCTCTGAATCCCATTTTAGAATTTAAAAAAAAAAAAATTAACATTAAATCTTTGAAATAATTTTCAAAAATGGTTTGAAAGAAAGATGTAAACATTTTTTTCAGCTTACATCATAATGATAAGAAAACACCATTATATCTAAGAATACCATCATGCTAGATAATCTCAAATCTTCTTTGATTAAAAAAATTCAATGTAGGCCAAAAGAAACTTTTCACGCAGTAAAAAAAACCCAAAAGGTTATAATAAGAACTAGTGCTACTAATGGAACATGTAAATATGACTAGAAATATTAAAACATAATATTAACGGTCTTTTACTATTACACAAACACGGACATCATGTAGGTTTACAGTTAGTAGGAAAATTAACAAATCTATTTTGATTTAAACTACGAAGGTACAAAAATTTTTACCTCCTTTCTAATGATATGAAAATATGCTGGATATTAAGTCCTTTTGTCATTAGTGTTATATCTAGAGTTAAAATACTAATATCATTATGTTATGGCAAATTAATCCTACAACTACCTTCTATAATTCCGTTTTCAATCAAAATTACAAAAAGAATTCTGTTAATTTTCAATACATTTCTACACATAAAATGAATAAAAGCTACCAGTTCTGTCTTTTTTACTTGAAAGTTTTATTAGTTTAGAAATATTTTGAAAGATGAAACAATGTTGTTGGATTGATTAACAAAGTTATTTCTCTTTTTTAATAAACCTTTTGTAGAGACTTATAAGCTGTCAGCTCATCTAAAATTACTAAAACTATCTGCATAGGCCGAACCTGGTACTCTTCAATACAAAATGCAAGTTACTGCTCATTTCATATAAAGAAAACAGTCAAAAAGTAAATTATGATGTCCAGTAAAAGGCTACACTTACAGAATATTTCTATGCTGCATTAGGGACTTCACATTCATAATTTATACAGAGTACAGACTAAATCTACTGAATAGAAATTCATGTGAATATGCCAAGTGTCATATTTTTTACCAACATGCAAACTGAGTGTTGAACAGTTTTGTGTGATATAAAATTAAAAATTCATTCCCCAAAACAACAAAGATTAAGTGAGCATTGAACTCTTATGGTACATGATAAAAGTTATGAAACTTCCAAGCAGTTGTACTGTAGATTCCTTATTTTTCGCGAGTACTTTTTATAGTGAAAATATATTGAACGGCAAATTGAGAGAATAATAATTTGTGATTGATTGGTTGATCGAGAGAATTTACACGTATTTCAGCACCATATAAATAAAAGTGTGGTATTTTATTTCGCAAGTGATGCATCTCGCAAAATTTCGCGATAGTTAATTCCGGGCATATTAACAAGGAATCTACAGTAAATCAGCTTACAAAGCTCTGTGTACACCAAAACAACTGATTACTGTAAAATCTTGTATTTTCTTGGGGTCAAATTTTCGTGGTTTGAGTGGAAACTCTTGGTTTGTGGGGATTTGAATTCTTGGATGAAGAATCATTGAGTTATCTTTGTAACATTTTACACTCTTGGTGGACATGAATTGGTAGGTCTCTTCATACCTCAAAAACGACGAAAATAAAACCCCAACGAAAATCTGTGATTTCACTGTATAGAGTGACCAACAAACAATGTTTTGTAGCACCACTAATCTAAAGTTCAACAAAAAAAGTCAAGCGTGGGATACTAGACTAATTGTTTTTAAGGTTTGGCATGTGTTTCGTTTTGTGTACAACCCAATAATCTTCTGCCATTAAACAATTAACTATATAAAAATACATATGATAAACAACAGTTAAACATGGTTTTTGTCAAGAAGTTAATGATAAATTGAATTTTGCTTCCTTATCACCAATATTCTTTTCATCAAAGTTCAAAACTTGAGAAATACCGGTACATGAAAATTTTAAACTGAAATTTCTTTAACAAAAAGTTCTTCATTATTTTTACTGTATATAGAAATGTTAATCTCTTATTCTATCTCGAGATTAAATAAACAAATATGTGATATTTTACAGAATAAAGGCTATGTACATTATATCTGTAAAACAATTGTGTTCAAAACATTCAGTACAAATAAAGTGCCATATTTCAAATTTCCTGAGAGGGTAAAAGACAAGACAATGGCTTACATTTATATTTTGATTTCTCTTTAAGGAAAAATGTACGACACCGTAAACTAAACAAGACAAATGAATGTCCTTCACATAAAAATCTTTTACGATGGTTATTCAGTACAAGTACAATAATGCTGTAAAAATTAAAAAAACAGGTATTCGAAATTTCCTTGGACTATTTTTATTTTAATGAGTATTGAAACACAATGTAAGTCAGGTATACATATAATCCTGATAATAGCTAAGACTTCAGTTCTCCGAGTTCTAATATCCAGATGTAAATCTGCCTTTAAAGCAACTGATAACATTCCAACACATACTTAATGAAATTTGTCATTCACTGTTAACAACAGAAGAATGTTGTGGCTTTCAAAAATGCAGTTCCAGGTACAAATGTTACTTCTACTGTATAACTTTTAACAGTCCTATTAATTATCAACTACAGACTAGTTAAAAAAATAAAATATATGGAAAATTTTGAAATAAATAAATGAAGGATAAGATATTCAAATAACTGTTAAGTCTTAAAAAAAAACTTTCCAATATAGGTAGTGGTTAATAAAGTATCTAGCAAAGTTTAGCACTTAATCCATAAAAACTTAGCACTACTTCAAGTACACATGTTCTTTGATTTAACCTATCTGATACATGTATATGGCCTTACTTCACAACACTAAATGTCGTATTAAAACATTTCAATGTTGTGTTGCCAAACATGGAATGTCTGTTCCCAGTCACACGTCATGGATTATTTCCTGAATAAAATCTTCTGGCTAATATTCTCACTGATCTGTCCCACATCTCAGATTGAGGCTCATCATCACGTACAGAATCTCACACTATTATTTTCAGTCAACCACCTCTACCGAGTTAAGACAAAATAATTTCCACGCCCCTGAACCCAGAATGACAGCCACTCATCACCTCTAGTCGACCACTTCTACTGTATTCAGACAGGATAATTTCCATGCCCGTGATCCCCCCTGAACCCGGAGAGACAGCCATTCGCCGACGTTGTTCACAAACTCAATGTCTGACTCGTCGACCGGCGGTGGAAGGTCGGTGTCTACGGAACGAGAAATGTTCCTCTCGACCTTCACACTCTCAAGGTCAGCGTGTCCATTACAACCTAAAAATAGATCAAAGGGGAGTTAGCACTGAATATAAAAACATATGAAGGTAACCGTTAACCGTCTTTATTTCCATGACAAATTATGAGTATGAAAAAAATTAACATAAAAACATAAAAGTGTGAAGGTGAAGCAGAGAGCATGATGAATAAATAAGTTCACACAAAAGGTTTGTTTGCCCTCTCCAAACCTACTAACTTAAAATGGCCTGACTCAAAAATTTTTACATTCTAGAAAATTTTTTTCTTTTTATTTCTCTTTTCCCATCAATTAATATGTTAAAATTTCTGGAATAAGATTTCCAGCACCAACCCATCTTCCTACCAACCTAAAATTTTTACTCTTGAGTCAAGAGAGGGCAAACAAACACTATTTTAAAGATGGCTCCACCGCACAATAATTTGATTCTCTTGAAAAAATGCTCTTTAACATTAAAACATTTATAGCAGGGATAGGGTAACCATTAAGCTGTTTACTGTGAGCAAATCTAGAAACCACTCATATAAGTAGCTCTATCTAGCTAGAGTCTTAACACTTCTCACTCGTGTAAAGTACAAACTCTTACCGTCACCAGCTTGATCTGTGTAGAAGTTAGTTGTATCAGTTATAATTGTTAAGATTATGGATATTAAGGGTTTACAACTGACGAGGCTAGGAATTAATGGTCTATACCGTAAATCTGGAAATTTTTGCTGTAGATAAATTTTTAGCAAATTTGCGAGTTCATTGCATTCGCAAAAATATTTTTCTTAAAATAATTCAACAATAAGAAAATGTAAACAAAGTAGTGGTCATTCGCAAAATTTTAAAACCTAAAAATTAATCAACAGCATTTTGACCCTGATTCGCAAAATAAAATCGATGTAAAAATTTCCAGATTTACGGTATAATCTGATGAATCTTTATTCCACTATTATGGGTTTGTTTGAAATCCATATAAACAAATACAGCAAAACTCGATTAGTACGAACACGGATATTGCGAATTTACGGATATAGCGAAGTCGTCTTGGATCCCCAATTATATAAATTTAATGAATTTCTTATACGGTTATAACGAATTACGGATATAGCGAAGTGATTCTATAGATCCCAGCGATTTCGTTATAACCGAGTTTTACTGTATTCACATATGAAGGTATACATTTGTTTTGTAGAAACTAGTTTTTGTTTTCTTAATTTTGATGCTTGTGTAAATGTTTTGATTACAGTTCAAAAGGGAGATTTATGATTATAATGGACTGATGAAGTCAACTGCATGTGCAATGGTAAACAATGAAGGTCAAGGCCGGAAAGACTGATCTATAAAGTCCCTTAAGGAAATCAGAAATTATACTTGTGTAAATTTAATACAATGGGCAAGTACCTTTAGTAAATTTACTACTTTTCATAAATCATCATATTTAAATTTTCTGCTTGAATGTTTAAAATATCATGTTACAAAAAAACAAGATCTCCACACAACAGTAAGGCCATCATTAAAATGTTTTTGTTTGATGTACTCCAACCCACATTTTCCAAGGTTGGTAGGTAAGTAGGTATTTTCTTTTTTTTGCTTTACAATATGCCTGTCATAATTTATCAATGTTTGCATTTCCATGATTACACACTGAATAGTGGATAACTATACAGATTTCCTATTTATTGCTATAAAATTTTAAATCAAAAAGCATCCTAGAAAAATTATGGTATACTATATAATAGAAACTAAAAAATAAAATTCAGTGCTAAAGAACAATGATTGGGTAGGGGCAATTGCGATCGGTCAATCAGAGTACATCAAACAAATCATTTTTTATTGTTGGCCTAAGCTAAGCAACTTACTGAGGTCTTCCATAGAGCACGGCTCACGTAACTCATGATGACCCCCCCCCCCTTTTGTGTCCAAAAAAATACACAATATTTGATAAATCAATATTTTTTTGGTGTGGCTGTTGACCCCTACTCTGACCACAAACTGGTCGCCCCCCCCCCCCCTTTCAAAATTTCTGGACCCACCACTGAGCTAGGTAACTTACTGAGGTCTTCCATGGAGCAGGGCTCACGGAATTTGGATCCTCCCCGCCGGAATGGCTGCTTCTTTAGGATCATTACAGCTCCATTCAGGTATTTAAACACACTCAGGTCAAGGACACTCTGTCTGACCTCAGGGTTAGTGATGTACTCTCCAAGCCACGACCTCATGTAACCAATGTCAACACCCAGCTGGTAAGCTCCAACATAGCTAGAATAAAAATGTCAAAATCATCACTTAAAACACAGAATATATATAACTCTTTAAACAGATAACAATGCTAATCTTCGATGACAATGAAAGTAATAGCAGATTTTTGTAATGTTTTAAACTAGTCTTTGTACGGAGACTGACAGAATTTGGAAGAATAACACAGATTTGATTTTAAATAGAAATACTTGAATGATAATTTAACCATTATACATCATATTTCATTTTTAAAAGAAAAAATCCTACAAAATGCATTGAATTATGGTCTATATTCTTCAATTAGCTTAAAAATGTGAATTGACCGATTCTCGAAAATTGCTTTGAAAATATATATGTAAGAATCAGATGATGTCAGACCTAAACTTGATTTTGTTTTTGAGGATGTTGTTTTTCCACGCCTCACAGAACGCTGTGACGGCCTGCGACACGACGCTGAGTTGTGCCGTCTGTTTTAGTTTACTGACGCCATCAACGACCGGTTCCAGTATGGTCTCCAGGGCGTGCTCAATGTACAGGTTATGCTCCTTAGGAAGGTCTGAAAAATAGATTTAAAAACGTTCCCATTACACAACACATAAATAAAATCAGAAAACAAAAACTCACAATCCAAGCCTCCTTTCAGAGCTACAAACAGAGGGTGATCAAAAGAAAATTTTAAGCAATATACAGATACCTTACCTAATATATTACTTACTAATATATAAGTTACATTTCAAGTATTGGTAAATTTAGGAAATAGACACAATTTCCACATAGAATGATCAGTATAGTTTGGTGACAAAAGATTTATAAAGTGATTAGGGATTAAGAGATGTACAGCTTATTAAGACAGGTGTGCCACCATGTCATCTAGTGTACTAGTAATTTGCTTTTCCCTACAAACCTGTGGAGTATTTTTATAATACTAGAAAACTGACCAGTCAGCAAGGGCCCCGCCATGGGGTAGAATTAAAAGGGTGCAGCTTACGGAATGATTAAAAAAATGTACGAAGAATAAGCAACAGCAACTGTATTCTTAAAATTTCAAGATAATTCCTGAATATTCAAAAACCTGAAAATAATATCCTTGTATTTAAATTAGGCAGTAAAGAACAACTTAACACTGAATGTATATTTAAACAATTATGAAGCTTGTGTTATATAAAATGCCAGCCTTCAATGAATGCAGATATCATGAAGGCTTGACCTTAACTTCAAACAAACAGCAGTTGCAGACAAAGGTTTTCATTAATCTAAGACAGATAAAAAAAAGCCTACTAAATTTTCTGCAGCACTAGATAATTAATCCCAAGGGATTAATTGTACCTCTCTCATCATTTTCTTCTAAATTTACAATAAGAACTTTTTTCAGTATTAATGATAGAATGGGTTTTTTATACAACTACATTAAAAATTAATAATATTCTTGAATTAATATATTTATTAAAAAGTGAAAAAAGTAAATCAAAAAATCTTCTTTAATCTATTTCTTTTTTTTTTTTTAGAATTCAATGAAATCATAACTATCAAACAAAAATAAATAATAAAAATTTATATTTAATTCCACATTTCAGAGTGTTCATAGCATTCCAAATTGATTTAACTTCAAAACAAACTTCATTTGCAGACAGAAGTGGTAAATAATCTCAATGTGACAGATAAAGATAATGCTCTGGATTTTCTTGAAAGCTAATTAATCCCAAGGGACTTCTAGCAGCATTCAGTTTACAATGGGAACATCTTCAGCAGTTATCTCTCTTTGCCAATACATTCTAATATAAGTTAAGGAATCTACCCCACCACCCCAGCTCCAAACCATGGGACATAGAGAACCAAACTTAGCATCAAAATATGTATTTCTGCCTACTGAACTACCATACCAAATTTGTACTTGATTGGGCAACCATAAACAAAGTTGCCCATTCATTCTTATGCATAGTTAAGGAATCTACTCCACCACCCCAGCTCCAAACCAGAAGACATAGAGAACCAAACTTAGCATCAAAATATGTATTTCTGCCTACTGAACTACCATACCAAATTTGAACTTGATTGGGCAACCATAAAAAAAATTATTAGAAAAAAACAGAAAATTTGTGGACGGAAGAGTGACAGACGGACAGACAGACGGACAGACAGACGGACGGACAGAGTGATTACTATAGGGCACCCGCAAATCCTTGCGGGGCCCTAATAACTTATGGTCCAGCAAAACATGAATTTTATGACATCAACAAACTGAGAAAGTTAATTGCTTTAACAGAGGTAAAACTCGACACAATGGACTGAAAACAAATCAGCTTACGTATCAACTCTCCGCAACTAAAACAGTCACCACCTAAATATAAACATACGCCTTCATTTTAATTGGTACAAAAAGAGCAAAAATAACGGGGGCATTTTAGGGATAGCTATAAAACAGACTTGTTGCATGCAAGAAAAATTTATAATATACTGAATATTTTGCATCTGTATTCATTAAATAAAAATTAAGTACCATAATGGAGTCAATTATAAATTTTATCAAAATTACAAAAAATCTGTAAGAGAACTTTGAACAAGATTCACGAATTTGTCTAGTTTTTTTATCCATGGCAATACAGTTTTACAAATTAAACACTGATCTAAAAAAAAAATCATAAAATCATATGAAGTTCACTAGTATATTCAAATAAGACCAAAACTGCAAAAGATTGACCATCGAAAAAAAAAAAAACAGACATAAGAGACCAGACTGTTTTTATCATATAAGTCATTCCCAGTGGCACCTGACCAGTTGTTGGAGCCTACAATACAGGGGCTCAAAATTCCTACAGTACCCGATATCCCGAGTGTTGGGACTACCAAAGAAAGGGGTAGGCATTAGTTTTTATTCGCCAAAGTCCTGGGACTTTTTGTTTATCTTTTTTAAGTTAAAAAAATGATTTTTAAAAATAAAGCAAATTCTCAAATGTATTAAGTAAAAATGTGGGTTTGTGGGCGTTAAAAATACCATAAAACATTAGGAACAAAAAAAAAATACAATCCGTCTTTTTATTTTCCGTTGCGGTTAGACTCTTGCTTTTACGTAATTCCTCCTGTTTCCTCCTACATGACAAACGGCAATGAGTTTGTTAAATATCGGTTTTGGCTGTGACTGACAGCACATTCTAATTTCTATTTATTGTAACAGATGGTTTATTCAGTAGTGAGTATTTGTAAAAGTTATTGTAATGTACCAATAATCTATCAGTCTGGTATTGTGTTGAAATACTCATGTATGACTATATGACAGTTTATGGAGGAAAAATAAAACATATATTAATACATATAGTCTTTATTCATTCAATGAATAAATGAAAATAAATTATAAGTAACATAAATTTAATGATGTATAGGTAAATAGACTCTGAAATTTCTTCCTCGGACTTGCCTAAAATTTACTCTTTAAGTCCTGGACTTGACCATGACAAAAAAAATTTTGAACCCCTGATACATGTGTACTTGACTTATAGAATGTCAGTATAAAGTGAGCTAGGATTGTGCGTACCTGCTTTTTTACGCCAGGCTTTTCCCTGTGGCATCTCACTGCTGAAGTAATCAGCTGATAGTTTGCCACAATTTTCTGAGAAGACCTTCATGGCAGCTCCAGAAAGGGACTACAAAAATGAAGACATGAGTATAATTTATATCAACATATATCAGTTACATGTACATACATGTATTAAGTATAATTTCAATATACATAGCAAATCATGCATTAGTAACATTTTCAGAACAAAGAAATAGTCATCAGATCATAAATTCAAACAAGTTAATAAGACAATGTTTGTTGGTTCCTGCGCTGAAAATGTGCTTTTATTGGCCAATCAAACTTTTGTGAACTTTCAAAAGTGAACAGTACATGTGTTACAAATGTGGAATCAGGAACATAAATACCAATCAGCATGAATGACCTGTGACGTTACATTTACCTCTGACATCTGTTTAGTGACCTTTGGCATTAAGATTATAAACCAATCAGAACTGATTGACCTGTAACTGTAGATTGACCTCTGACATGTGTTTAGTGACCTTTGATATTAAGATTATAAACCAATCGGAGCTGATTGACCTGTAACTGTAGGTTGACCTCTGAAATCTGTTTGGTGACTTTTGACATAAAGATTATACACCAATCAGCATTGACTGACCTGTAACTGTAAGTTGACCTCTGACATCTGTTTGGTGACCTCTGACAGGTACTCTCCCATCTGTTGGTCACTGATTCGGGATTTACTGATGTTTTTAGAGCTGAACAGGTGAGCATTGTGTAGGGCCTTCTTTGTTTCATCTGCCAGAATCTATAACAAACAATAACTCTAGAAAATACAATCCGCAAAATGTAGACAATTGTTTGTATGACCATTATGCATTATAAGAGGTCATTTTATTCTGCAAATGGTTCTGGTTTTAAAAAAATAGGAATATATATACTGTAAACCCACTAGTATTTGCGTCATCTTTTATTTGTGATTTGTCAGTTTGAAATCAATCTGTGGGATTAAGTTTCGCTAATAAGGAAACATTTTCTACAAAAACAAAGCAAAATAAATAGTTCGCAGCGAATAACATTCATGACTTAAAGTAGGTCGCGAAACTCACGAATATTTGTCGCACGCGAATAAAAGTTGGTTTACAGTGTACAGCCAAAATTTGTTTCTCTTACAAATAGAGACAGCAAAATCTACAAGAAAATATCTCTGACCATGATAAATTTAGATGGTCATTTCAGTATATAAAAAATTTCCAGCATAAAAAAAAGTACTTCCTAGCTGGCATGTTGAAATTATGAACTAAAATTAAATGTGTCAACTTAGGGAAGCCACCATTAGACAATACATTTAAACTAGCTGAGGAAACATCTTTAGACCAGTGTGACCTACTAGCCCATACCTTGAGATCTGTTTGTGTGACCAAGAGGAAGTTGCCGACCGCCCATGACGACAGGAAGCCGTGAGATTTGTGGACACACCAGCTGTGAGCTGCTTGGCAGTTTGTCAGCAGACGACAGACGATTCCCGTCACGTGAGGAAGATCCAGGTCCTGCTTAGGGAGCAACAAACTGCCATCTAGTGAGAGAAAGAGAGCTCATTGTACATTTACAGAAAATTTATTTATGTATTCCATGTCTCTACAAAAAAATAATAATTTTGGCAAAATTGTGTTTTTTAAAAAATTTGAAAACCATACCAGGACTATGCTAATGCTGAACAGTATCTTTAGTTCTTAATCAATTAATGTTTTACTCTTCAGTCTTTCCTATACATGCTATATACCATATATCCGGGTTTTTTTTTTTGCGATTTAAACTTCAATAAAAATACACACACGCAAAATAAAAACTGTACAAATCTACCCCTTTACTGCAAAATTTCCATCACATGCAAAAAAAGGATACACATTAATTTATAAATAATAATCTGAATGTTTACGTTCCGTGGCCTTGTCGTACCTTTCCCGGATTCCTGGATGTCTTTGATGTTTTCCTGTAGGAGACTGAACAGAGGCTGATACGTGTCGCGGAGTAACATCCCGGTCTTAGTGCTGTGATCCCCGCTGGCCAGTAAACACGGGTAACACTTGTCTGACATCTGACATCCCAAAGCCTCACACATCACTGAAAACAAACAATCAAAAACTTATAACTCAGACTTGACTTTTGACCTTTGAAGAAATTGGTCCCAAACAATCCTTTCTTTTCTATAAACAAGATCTAAACATACATTTACATCCAGTATGATGATATAATAAGTTAACATACATATGTCCCATGACTGTAGTGCCGTTTGTGCGTGGAGTTTCCTAGCCACACCCAGTACTGGAGGTACAGCATTGGATGGAAACATGTCTAGGAAATAAAGAGTACACTGTACATGTTGTTACATTCAGTATAATCATACACCAAAAATAATAACCTCAACTAAAACTTAATAAACTCAAATGAAACTTTGCCCAAAAATTATTAATTTGCCCTAAAAAGAGCAGCACCAAAGTTACCTTGAAGGAGCTATCAATTAATAAATAATTAATGCCCATGCAATTCAGAATAAAGTTTTGTCATTTCGACCTAGATTGTGCAAATGCAACAATTGTATGAAACTTTTTAAACACTGATTAAATCAAATGACAGACATTGAATCATACAAGAATAACAACTTAAAAAGCTATCATATCAAATTAAGATCTTGAATATTTCAAACCTCATGCATTTTTCAAGTACCTTTGAGACAAACATGCTCCATCATATTTCTGATGACAGTTACCACGGTAGCACCACTGAGAACCACACTTCCCAGTTCTCCCACGATCTGGTTTCCACGACAACCCCACACAGGTTCATAGAAACACTGCTCCAAGGCCGATCCAAAGAATTTCCATAAAACGTCCATGTAACGACTGGTCAGCTGTGAGCGAATAGAGCTGTCCGCGCTGTCGCCCCAGGAGACGGTCTTGCGCTTGGAGTCTGCCCGGGACAGGACAGGGGTGTCCTGACCTTTGGGGGGTTTAGAGGTCGGGCTCTTGGGAGATTTACTAGATTTATGTTTACTTTTGGAGTGACTTTCACTTTTCCTGAGTAGGTTGGTTGAATTGCACACAATGAGTAAAAAGTTTTCAGCAAACTCGTTTTCTAGACGAGCAAACTCATTTAGTGGAGGTTCATAAGGGGTGAGATCGGGGGCGCGGACCGAGCCGACCTTGAGTATGGCGCCACTGATGGAGGTCATACTTCCACTGGCCGTGTGGTAATCCGACGTGTCGAGGTGGTGGGATATGTGACCAGGGTACTGCACTTCATCGTTCCATACGTAATTCGGTAATTTCCCTGAATACAGGATACGAACAAAGTCATCATTTGCAGTGAAAAAGCGATGGGTCTCTATGGCAGCATATTTAGCACGTTCAACAGCTATAATGTTGAGAATTTTGGAAAAAGGAATAGATTTCACAGAAAAGGAGACGTGTCCAGGGTGGTTTGTAACGAGGGGGTCTGACTTACATGTCAGGTTCATCAACTCCGACTGAATGTGATCGAGAATAAAATAGGACGAGTTCATGTAGCGACTCTTAGACAATCCAGCAGCTACGTTATTAAAATCCTCCAGGCCCCGCGCAATGTTCCACACAATCTCCTGTGTCAGCATCGCCATGCTTCCGTGAGCAAACACCTGTAAACCAATAACGATTAACTTCTCCATCCAGTAGATGGCGTCACTGTAGAGCTGGAAGAGCACCTTGCGTACATACTCTAGGTCCAGATACAGTCTCCCAAGTATCGGCTGAAGCCAGCGGTTGTTGTGTAAGCACTGTTTGATGTTATTCCAGTGACCCACGTGAGTCCGTAGGTCTTCACACAGAGCATTTAAACAGTAAATCTTGCTGGACGGCGCGTCCATTAGACAGTTCCGCATGATGGCGTAGTATGTACGATACTCCGCCTGCACTAAGTGCTCTAGGTCCTGTACAAACGCAGTGACACTTTTGATTCTGAACAAGCAATCTCGCAGGAAGTCTAGTCGGGATCTTTCCTCCATGATGGCGCGTAGATTCAGGTACTGCTTCCCCAGACCCTGCAGGTGCCGACAATGCATGAAACTGATGCTGGAATACTCGGGAGTTCGTTTTGTGATGTGGTTTCCAGGATTAACAATTTTGAAAGGTTTTCGAAATAGTTTGAGGGTTTCCTCTGCTTCAGGTACATCGAATATGCAGTCTGTCGAGACCTGAGTACTGTACGCGGGGGCTGTGTAGAAGCGGTAAAACTCGGCAGTGTCATCGTAATCCTGATCCATCCCAGGTACATGAACTCGACTCAACTCGCTTGAAGGAAGGGTCTCATCCAAATGGTATGCCTGCATCCTACAAAGTTAATAAATCATATGACAAGGAGGACTAGTTTTTGACATTAAAACCTCCTAAGTCATATTACTTGGACTAAGACATAAAGTTAAACAATATTTCAGGCACCATAAAGCATAAAATGACCAGTTACTTAAAAGATAAATTGATCAAGTCAACAAAAAAATGCTTGACGGAAGAAATAAGAAAATATATAATGAAACCCTCCCACCTGCCTCAGTTTTTCAAAAAAGTTGGATGAGAAGCTAGGAATTGTTATTATCATTATGACTTAGTCACCATATCCACTGATTTATATATATCAAACAACCTTTTAAATTTAACAAAAAGTTACAGACATTATTAATCATGTTAATATAAAAGAAAATATCACTGTTTATCAACAAATTATTCTGTCTTTGTTCCAAAAAAGAAAACAATGCAATCATCAGCAAAATGACTCACTAGTTAAACATCAGCATCCAGACAAGATAAATGAGAAAATAAATCTGTTACAAGACTGTTTACAAGCTGAAATCTGTTGACCATGTTGAGTTATTGATAACTGTTGAGAGTTGGAAATCTTTAAGCCGATGACCAGATTCTAACATTTAAGTTCTAAGGAAATATTGACACATGTGTTTACTTAGACCATATACGCTGGAATTTAGCATGAAAGACTATCCCTATTGGTTTGTTTACATTCCCCAGAGATATACCAAACAATCAAAACTGGGGCATTTTAAACATATTCAACAAGTTCATATTCATAAAAAACAAAGAAAAATAACAGAAAAGCACGTGTTGTTTGATATCGCATTATCAGTTTCTTCTTTTCACCGCTAATAGGAAAATCTGGTCCAGTGCCAGGGGATGAAAACATTATCTTCATCAACGGTAAACTAATCTAGACAACATATATCCTAATCGTAAATTTTTCGGTTAATTATACAATTATTGACTAGCAGAATAGATTACCTTATTATGAATTTCGTCTACCTCCAGGTAAAGGAGCATTACCACAACATGCAAATTTGGTAATTGTATACATTCTCGCCATGTTTCCACAAACACTCTCAGTCACGTGATTAGGGATATTCTAGTATGAAAACCGTAACGTGATTGGAAAACGGATTTAGAAAACTTGTTCTTGGAGTTTTGGAAAAAAAATATCTGTTAAATTAATTTAAGAGGTTTTTTCTTGAATTGACAAATGTAACTGTGATGTATTGTGATGTATCAAAATTTTTGAAAGTGTTTTTGTGTAGTGGTTGGGGGTGGGGTTAAAAAGACAATTTTACAATATTTTTTCCATCGTCGGAACCCACGGGTTTTCTCTCCGTTACACTGCATTTGTAACGGAGAGAAAACCCATGGGTTCCGACGATGTACTTTTCATATTGAAGATGAATTTTATTTTCTTTTTAGCTGCCATAAATACATAACAATCATAGGTTAACATTTAAAAGGAACTTGATGAATTTTTTAATGGAAAAATATCAGATATGTCTTATACTCAAAAAGTGAAGCTTTGCTTAAATTAATAGCCATTGTCCAGAAATACTGAAATAACAAACTCAATTATTAAAAAAAATGTATTTTATCTAGAAATGATTGCAAAACATAATTATTGTACAAATGATGGTATGATTTATAATTATATAACTTCACATTCTATACCAGAATATTGTTTACATTTATGAACAATTGATGATATTTATAATATGTTGAGCCTTCGCCAATTATTGCACTGAGACGTGTTTAACTGTGTTTTGTGTCACAAATTTGTATTTATTTGTGTTTACATTTATATTTTTAAAGTATATTTTAATGAAAAGAACTTTGACAAGCTAACAACAAAATAAAAAGCTTCCAGACAATAAAAAAAATGTTTTGCACCGGGTCGGGAGACCCGAATTAAGTGTCAAATCAAAAAGTAAAATAGGAGGTGCACAATGGCATTATGTGATAAAGGTTCTATAGATGTATCATTAAATTCATTCAGTGCTATAGGAGGAGTAGCGGATAAGAGATGGGTACCCCCTAATATTATAGAAAAAATGGCTGTGCTCATGTTTTGTTCTGGGAAATCAAAAACATCATGTGTCCGATCAAAAAGTAATATGGGAGCTGCACAATGGTGAAGAGTTGCAGATAAGAGATAGGTACCCCAAAGCGTAACAGACGGACGTCAATTTTTTTCAGTTGTTTTTTATGCAAAAAGTAAAATAAACTAAATGTACCGTAAGCATTGAATTCACTAATTAAAACTATAAAGGTATTGTGACATCCAGATCACTATTTACCCTAGCTCCTACTTCAAATTATAAATATAGGAGGACAATGGCATTGTGTAACAAAGATTCTGTGAAACATATGGAGATAATGAACAGTAGTCAAGATCCAAGGTCCATAGGCCGGTGCCGTGGGATCAGGTGCCATGGAGGAGTATGTGAGCATTAATGAGTGAGTGTTATAATAAATGTCAATGATTCGACCTTATGAAGTGATGACTTTAAAGTTTAAACGAGACTGCTGATATTCTTGTTTCATCAACTTGTTTGTCAATAATTTACCTCATTTAAGAAATTGTTAATACGTAGAGCATGTTCTTGTGTATCGAATCAATTGAGATACCGGTATATAAACTCCTGAAAGTCATTAAATTTCATTCAATGATTTAAGAGGAGTTGCGGATAAGAGATGGGTAAGTTTTTGAAAGGTAGGTCAAACTCCAAGTCAAAGGGTCAAAGTTGTTGGTTTCTTAAGAAAAGTCAAGTATGTCACAAGTATTACAAAGGTTATGTCAAGATTAAATTTTTTAAAAAGGTCAAACTCCAAGGTCAAGATCAAGAGCTTGATATCCTAGGTCTTGTCATTAGGATTAAACATGTGAATTGAACTCTACCCTTTAAAAGTTAGATATGGCCAAGGTCAAGGTCAAAGGGTCAGAGTTCTTGGTATCCAATGAAAGGTCTTCTCACAAGGATTACATACGTAAAGCATGAAAGTCCTAGCCCTTACCATTCAAAAGGTATGGCCAAGGTTAAAGTTTTTTCATAAGTACGGAAATCTCCAAGGTCAAGGTCAAAAAGTCAAAGTTGTTGGTATCAAAATGAAATAAAAGGGACCTTGTCACAAAGAATGCATATGAGAAATACGAAAATCCTAGTATTTACTGTTCAAAAGTTATGGCCAAAGAAAAGGTTTGTAATTTTTGTGTCAAACTACAAGGTCAAGGTCAAATTTGGTGGTACCCAAAGAAAGGTCTTGTCACAAGTATTCGAATACTCCTGTGAAATGTGAAAGTCATAGCTTCACTAAATCAAAAGTTATTGGCTAGGATAAGTGTTTGTAACGGACGGACAGACTTTAACTGACGAATGAGATTTGAAATGTACCATCGCTTTCGCGAAAGTAGGGGACAAAAAGGAGATATACAATGGCATTATGTAACAAATTTAAAGATTCTGTGGAAGTCGTTAAATTTCTAGAGGAGTTGCAGATAAGATGCCATCATGGGTACGTATATACCCCAAATCTTGTGACTTCAAATCCCATAAAGGTAATAAACTTTTCCTTCTGGATGAAAACTGTAATTTACCAAGTTTTATCAGACAAAGCTAGGGGTTTATTGATTGGACAACACGGGATTGTAACTAGATTCGTTATTTTAACAGTAAACAATCCGTGCTGGTTTAAAATGGTCAACAGGAGCAGGGACTTCTATCTAGACTAGAGCATAAACGTATAAAAGACATAAATAATAATTAGTTGTGTAAATTTGTGCCTCTGGCCCAAACCATTACACAAGCATCAGGATTGCACATTCTCTATCTATTTAATTTTCGCGCCAAATGTCTTCGTCATTACTCGGAAGTCATCTATAACGTTACAGATTTCCGAAAGTTTCCGGAAGAAAGGGTGCGACTACTACAACAAGTAAACTGTGTCGATCATCTGCAGTGGAAATATTGTTTTAAGTGGATTGCATGATTATCACTTAGGAGGAAAAAAGAAAACAAAATGCGAGAGTGAATCCAGAATAATCAGTTACCATGTCTCTGCAAGTGGTGGTCATTAAGGCCACGAATGTCCCGAATGCAGAGAAATTCGGGGAAAGTGATCCTTATGTAGCCATCGAGTTCCAAGGTAAAGTTTTTAGGAGATGCTCAGCGTGTAATACCTGGTGTGAACCGAGGCGTGTATTCGCTTTTCTGGACATTCTAATGAATATGTCTATGTTTCTCTACAGGTATAAAGAAGAAGACAGAGGTGAAAAAATCCAATCTAAATCCAGTTTGGAATGAGGTGGGTCTATTTCTAGATTGCAAAACCTCTCAATGGATGTTTAATTTCCACCCATTGAACTGTTGAACAACAAAATTAAAAGTCCCTACATATTTTACTAGATCTATATTTTATGTTATTTTGTATGCATGCATTTTGTACAGGTGTCTTAATATATAAGTACTACTGTACTTTTACTTTTAACTTGACAACTGCAGATCTGCTCTACAGTGTACACGCACACAGCACAAATAAAAGATCTTCTTCAACATCTGCATTTGAAGCATAACTTTATTTTTTAAAATTATCTTTCTAAATCGTAAATCCCCATTTCACTAATGTTAACATAATTACAATTTGTCAGACATATTACCATGATTACACGAACTAGATGAGTAGGTGTGACATGCATAAAAATTGCTTAGATATGTAGCCTGTGGGTGTGATGTTATGACCATGGCTATAACATAAATAGAGGGTCATACCAATACAACATAACACGGATTTACTTATCACCAAATGCATAAATCGTAAATTTTACCTTGTAAAATAACATTGTTCTACAGTCAGTGTATACATATAATTATTATCCATGTATGTAAAAGGTCAAGACTGAAATTCATAATTTCAGTATTTTTAAATTGAAATCGAGAAATGCTAGTAAGGTATGATTCATCCAACCTGTAATTCATAGCAATGATTCCCTAAGGACATTTAATTCACTGCTTAGAAATCTCCCACGCAAATATATGTGAACAGCCCACTGCTCTTTGTAAATTTCTGTATTTTAAACGATTCAGCACTTTGATAAAACCCATTATTGTGCAAATTTAGGATCATTTCCTTACTTAAAAAATGCTTAATTGATTATCGGAGGTACTTGAAATTGATAAAGTTTTGTCTCTGATTTTAAATATTAAATTGTTATCTCCATGCAGTAAAAAATTTCTGGAATGCACTAGCTGGCTCTCTTATCAGAAATTAATACTGTACTGGTCATCCATCAGTAGTGACCAGTCATTGGTCATTACGCCCAGTCAGCCGTCAACATCGGTCAAGGGTGAGATACAAAAAAAAAAAAGCACTGGTCAGCAGATTTAAATAGAGCCATTCTCAGCTTACTATAAATACAACCCAGGTTCTCAATTACATCAAAATTTTACATCCAGGTTTTTGTATAGTCACACAAAGAAAAGCATATAATCTTCATGATCTTGTATCATTATTATGGAAATTTAAATCCCATATCCTGAATAACCCTAAAGCAGTTTACCAAAACAGTTTACACAGGGATATTATTTTTGAAGGAAGAAAACACAGCCAACACTAGACTACATACAGAAAAAATTAAAATATTTAAGATAGAAAATCCTGGTCGAGATTTATGCTGTGAATGCATATATATTTTATTTTGTGGAGTGGTTAGTGGGAAAAATGTTAAAGAGTGGGTTGGAATGTATACATTTAAACTTGTTTATGGGTGAAGGTTTATACGTAATAAATCGGTTGGGCCATACCTGTGTTGTGATAATTCAGATTTTGTAGTCTATCCCATTTTGTGAGTGTCATCTATACGCTCACAGTCTGTATTAAGTAGAAAACAATCACCCTTGTTTTGAATCACGTAGTATGAGTTTCTATCACATAGTACATGTATAATACGAGTATTATTATAGCTGAGTCAGCGGCGAAAATTTCTAGTACTTATTGTATAGTTATTACTGCACTGTTATACTCCATGTATGATTGCTCGAGAGTTGTCCAATAAATATATAATGACAAATATCTGTTATTTTTTCCTTAGTGCAGTTGCAAAACAACAAGTTTATGGTTTTATCGTGCATGTACAGCTGAATTATATACCAGGATGTTTTCCTTTGTGGTATAATCATTAAAATATTGTCAACTTTACTACAGTTAGAGCAATATAAATACTTGTAATCAAATCCTGGAGTTAAATATTATGGGTACAGCTCACCAGTACTTGCAAAGTGCAGAAAAAATAGGTGAAGATGAGAAAGACTAATCCAGCTTATATAAAATATTTTTATTGAACTTGATGAAAACATGTACATTATTTTATTTTCTTGAGTTTAAAGTTCTTTTTCTTATATTTATAACCAGTGGTAAACTGATCAGGTAACATGTACAACAGTTAATATTTTACACTAATACGTCAGCTAGGGTTAAAAATATGAACAGTCTGTCAGAGAAAATTTAAAGTACTCTTGTCTTTTAATTAGTAAAAACTTAATGTGTTGCTGGAGGTGCACATATGGATTATAATATATATATGTCATTGAATTAATGAGAGTTTTTTTTTTTAATATTGCTAACTAAAACTTGTAAACAAGGTAAACAGTATTAAGTTGAAATAGAATTATTGATATATGTATTGAAGACTGTCTGGGCGCACACACCACTCTAAGTGCATTGCACATCCTTATGATAAAATAAACATGAGAATGACTTAAAGTCACTAAGTTTTACATATTGGAGATCACAAGAGCTCTTCTTCAAACTTTGCATTACTAATGATATTGAAGATCAAATCAAAGATGGGCAATGTAAAGTCAGGCAGAAAGAGAGGAGCATTAAAACAAATGGAAAAACTTAAACATGTCAATGATATTTAACAAAAGGAACAGTTAATAACAAGAATTTGAAGAAAATAAGAATTTTAAGGTCTATATTTTAAAGATTAAAGTTGTAATTTAAAAAGAATATTTAATATAGCAGCTTTGGAGGTTAACCCCCCCCCCCCCCAATATTTTGGCTCCTTTTGTATTTGAAATAAAATCAAGGGGTGCAAGTCACTACACATGTAAATAAAATCACATACAAGTGATTTCAAGGACTCCTCCTCAAAAGTGTATAATATTATTAAATGAAGTCCCATAAGTCCCATAGTTATGAGCATGATGAGCAAAAAGAAACTATTTTTTTTAATGAAAAAAGAAAAACAAAGTGCTATCAATAAATTATTCGAGGAAAAAAACCCCAAGTTCTAGCAACACTGTATGCCAAGGGATGAGAGTAGCGTATCAAACCCTTGTCTAGCGAAGATGATGTACAGTAGAAGTGAAAACATTGCGGTGGTTTTAATTTCGTTATGTTCTCAATTAAAGAATTATCCATAAACATGATGCCTAGGATTAGCTATATAATAAATAATGATATACTATCACAACTACTGCATATATAGTTTAGATATACAGCAAAATTCAAATATCAGGAACATGGATATAGCAAATTTACAGCTATATAGCAAATTTTCATATAAACCTTTAGAAAATACATTGTTGAGGAGGTTCACGATGACAGTTTGAGGTACTGTGAGCTGATTGTTTTATAATGAATTTAATATACTGATAATTAAAACCTCTTTAAAACATGCAAAATGCCCCCCCCCCCCAGTACACTTAATATCATATAAGTGTTTAAAATTAAGCCCATTCAGCAATAATTTCTACAGGATTAAATCTTACCATAGACCTCCAGGCCCCTGAGATTAGGATTCTGTTTTTTTATTAAAAGATTCTAGGTTACAGTGGTATAGATGTTAAGTACAGGAATTCCATTGGAAAACCCAGGTTTCCGTAGCATTAACCTAAACAAACCCCCTCGCTGACAGAATTTCTGTTTATAGCCATCAAACTCAGCAGACTGTATCAACCATATAAAAAGACATTTACAGAAGATTCTGCTCAATGGATGATTAGATAGAAGACCTTTTTAGTAGCAATCTATAATGTTAGAAACAGGATACGGCCAGGGAGAGTACAATGTCCTGTCAATCTTTTAAGTCCCATTTTAGAATTTTCCTTTTTAAAAATCTAGATATAAGTTTGTCATAACTGTATATATAAAAATGATTTACAACTTTGATGTTAAGATTTTCTGTATCATGAAAATCAGTAATGATTTTTTCCATCTGAGTAAGGTGTGATCTTAAATTGTACCAAATTTGATTCCTGCATCAGATTATAATCAGAGGCATTATTTCCAAGTTATTAATGAGCTTCTATCAGTCTTTACATCTGCATATATTACAAGGATGAATCAACCCACAGGTGCAGATCCAGGAATTTTTTCCAGGAGGGGGGGGTTCCATCCCAGTCCAAAAATATCCAACCTAGAAATTATTGACAAGCAAAAAAAAAAAAAAAAAAAAACACAACAAAAGCCTATTTCCTGGGGGGGGGGGGGATTTGAATTATAATGCTCCATACCTCTGACTGTTCATTCCAATTTAACACAAATCCGCATTTTCCAGGGGGGGGGTCCAAGGTCACTTTTTACTTACTTTAGCATATGAATTTATTAACCTTGCAAATTGGTATTCCACGCATAACCCATGCATTTATAAAGACAGATCAGGACATTTCTTTGGAATTTCCAGAGAACTGTTTAGTTATTCTGATCAGGGATGCAATTTTTCACTGTTTTCTGTATAAAGTCATTGTACTCAACAGTTCATGTCCACTGCTAATTGAAAAAGAACAAAATGAAAGCCATATTTTTTATATTCCGTAGACGTACTATGTAAAATGATAGATCAGATTGATAACTGCTAACATACCTTACATGCTTAAATCACAATGCTGAAATAATGAATTATCTGCAATTATATTGAATTTCATTGTATTAGTAAGGAGGCTTCTACATGCTCATGACAGCATGTACCGGTATTTATTTGTAAAGAAATTTATTGTACATTAAAAAAATTGCTTTATCAACTTCTGTGCTCTTATTCACTAATATAGAGCTGATGTAGAGAATTCTTTTCTTTTTCAGACTTTTGATCTTGATCTAAGTGGGAGACCCTTAACTGCTTCAGATGAATTACAAGTCAGCGTCATGGACTGGGAGAGGGTGGGCCGAAACAGGTAAATAGCTCACAATATATACCTGTTATTTACCTTTACAATAGGTAAATAACTCATATTATTATATGATTGAATAATTCCTATCATTCTGATTAGCTGAGAACCAACAATGTAGAAAAAATTCTATGTTATATCTACCTGCACGGGACTTTCCAGGTGAATATAAGGATTTATTTTTTCTTACATGTCGCCAGTAAAACTCAGTTTGCGACCGTTAAATCAGTATTAATGGTCGCAAAGACCAAATTAGAAGATAATGGTCCCCTAATTTCCACTTTCCATTTACCTTTACAACATGAAAAATATTTAGATCCACCCACTACTGATAAACAGGTAATGTCTCCTGACTGAAGAAAATAGACAGACAGATTGACCAATAGGCAGTGGGCAAGTGTCGCTTTGAGAGGGTGGTGGGTATATATTATATTGTATTTCTGTCTTGGAAACCTCTCAATACTTTTTTGAAGAACTTGCAATGTTCTTTCATTTTAGGAAGAGTGAATAGTTTTAATGATCTTTAGTTTGATATACAGGCACCAGTAACAGAACGAGACATCTAATGTACAATGTACAATGTTACGTTCATCTCATTATATAAATTACCTTTCAATGTCATCACATATAATATACAGTTCTTAACCCTGCATAAGAGTGAGTATTTTAGAGTGTTCTCTCTCCAGACAGAGAAGTGTTTTAGTGAAGTAGGAACACTCACAGTCATTGTTACAATCAGCTAGAAAAATAAGTGGCAATCTACATTATGCACTTGTAATTTTCTTCAAATTTCTTCAATCCACTTATTATAATAGTTATAAAGACTCATTATAGTAATACAAAAACAATTGAAAAGCGTATTTTGATGCAACTATCAGCATTTATATATATATACTTACAAGTCGTTTCATCATTCCCTTTAGATGTTTGTATTGGATCAGGTGTAATGTATTTATTTTACCTGTATTGTATTATACCTGTATACATGACATGCTGACACAGCTGTGCTCAATGTAAGAAGCTAAATAATCAGTAATCTTTAGGGTTATGTGTTTTTAAATGAAGCATAAATCTCTTATCCACAATAACTCAGATGCATGAATGTGTAAACAAACGGAGAATCTGTGAAAAAATGACTTGGACTTAGTAATTATTTGTTTTATAGCTTCTTTGTCAAATGCTACACTCCCTCTCCCTCGGACCCCCTCCCCCACTTCTTTAAGTTAGTTAATATCCCTTGTAAGATCTAAGGTTGAGGGTTCAAATCTGCTAGAGATGGAAATGTTGGCCACATTTATTAAAGGCTTTGATATATTGAATACTTGTATTCTTTGACACAGAGTGTTGAAAGGATTCCCTGTGGAATTGTATTAAAAATAATTGAAGTAGGAAGTTCCAATGTTAAAAAAAATGAAACTATTGTGTCACTGAATGATTTATTCCATGTACATGATGTAGAAGTTCAGTCATTCAAGTCATATACTTATAAACAGCCAAACATGAATATGATTGATTTGCACCTTGGAATATAACTGATCTACAAAGATTAATCTAGCATTCAAATGAGACAATATTTTAAATATTTATAGATTACATTGCATTGTGGAGACTTTTTCTAGAACAAAGAATGATTCAGATTCAACCAATACACTTTGTAACCATAGTTATTAGGATGCAGTAATTAGCTCATCTTTTATTTTTTTCTGGTAACATTCCGTTGAATATGCCCTCTGTGAAATATGCCCTAAGGAAAAGTCTCAGTTTATAACCTCTTCAGATTTTTTTTTAAATAAAGGAAGTGTGTCATTTTGCCCAAAACAAACATTGCATTGTTTTAATAGCAGGTCAGGAAAAAATTCAAGAGTGCAGGAAAGAATTATTCAATTGTTTCATCTACATGTATGCACATGGAGACACACATAACATTGGTAGAGTCTGTCTGTCTGTATGTTTGTTTGTCAAGCTCTCTATCTGTTTGTTTGTCTGTCTGTCTGTACAGCTGTCTGTCTGTCTCTCTGTGTGTTTGTTTGTCAAGCTATCTGCTTGTGTGTTTGTCTGTCTGTCTCTCTGTGTGTTTGTTTGTTTTTCTGTCTTGAAAACTGCAAGGTGTAGGTTGTGTACTTGAAAATCTTCTTTGAGTTTAACAGTGTTTTCCCTAAGAACCGGCTACCGGCCAAATTGACCACTTTAATTGATAAAAATGCCACTTTGAAATAAAGAAACCAAAATTTTAAATGTTAAATGTAAGGTCAGAAGAGAACTTCTGACCCGAGCCTGTTACAACTGATCTCTAGCCCTTTTATACTTTGAAATAAAGGGAAAAAAGGTTTAATAAAATGAAAATAATATATAAATATATATTTATATGCAGTCTTCATTAATTTTAGGGAAGTTATTGACAGTATAGACATCTAATAGATGCAATGTTAGAACATCCACTATTGAGTCATATTTCACCTTTATTTGATCAGGTTAGGGTATTATAGGTAAGAAAACCAAGTACACAAAGTAAAGGGTGTGTCATGCAGACATGAAAATCATCTTTGGCAGTTTATCAGTTACAGAGTTATAGAGTTTTATATCAACTGTCCTGTCCTTATGGCTCAATGCTTGTATATATAGGTAGATAAAATAAGATTCCTAGCCAGGTATTCTAACCGGAGATCAGACATTCCAATTGGTGTATGTTGTAGTGACATACGATGTAAACATTTCACCTGTAGAGGTCTAGTGTTGACAAGGTGTAGGACGTTATCATGTTTTATATAAAAGTTAAAATTAATAGAGAAAATATCGGACTGATTGATCGACACCCACAAAAGTGACATGTAATTAATTATTTATGATGAATTAATTAGTTATGACAATGAAACCCTGACTCATATTTTTCTGTTTTCTATATGTGGCAGTTTGAAATAATGAGAGGGGGTTCCAGGGAATACACAGTCTCAATTGTTTCTGCACAAGTACTTTGATTTTGGGTTGTTTTTAGCTCACCTCAACGAAGTTGGGCGAGCTTATGTAATACCCTCGGCGTCGGTGTCGGCGTCAGCGTCGACGTCCCAGGTTAAGGTTAAGTTTTTTGGAGCAGTTTTCTTTTTAAGTACTTCTATGTCTTATATTGATTAGACATGCTTGGAAGATGCTTCTAATGTGTTTCATTAATTGTACCAGTCAAAGTTTCGATCAGATGCTGCAATTTCAGCAAAGGAATGACCAGGTTAATGTTTTTGGAGCAGGGTAACATTTTTGGTGCAGTTTTTGGTGTAGGTCTCATTTCCAAGGAACTATAAGCCCTATGTTGACCAAACTTGCATGGATGGTACATCTAACAGTCCAGTCCAATACGAAAAATCGTAATATTACGAAATATAGTAATATTATTCTTATATTACCATTTTTCATAATATAGTTAAATTACGGAAACTCGTAATATAGCAAGTTGAGAGAGACTATATTACGAGTTTTCGTAATGCAAGACAAAATAAAGCATTGAAAGAAACTGAATGATGTTTATGGAAGTATGACGTCAGAAATACATTATGCCCCAATGGTACTAGTATCACGTGTTCATTTTGGTCAGTGACGTCTATCGAAAAGTATGGAAATGCAAGAAGAAAGTAACAATGGTAATGGGTTAGTGAACATTTTGTTTTATTATTCTTATATAAGAATTTTCCCAAGGATAGGAACAATTTTCCATAAAATTTCAATGTATCCTCAAGCTTGTCACAATGGTCTATAATCTCTGAATTCCCTATATTTTTCCCGAAGTCTACCCTGAAATTCAGACCCTCATCTCAAACAACGAGATGTTACGAGAGATAACTTGTAAGACTCTCACTAGACTCTGAATCCGCTTGCACTTGGATCAAATACACCAAAACAAAGAAAATGCACTAACCATACATATCCACGATATCATAATGATGAAACCAGAGACATATAATCTCTGATGGAACATAACAAAGAGGTTGTATCAGAAAAAAGGGAAGTAACTCTTAGAAGAGTTAGAAATTGCTTATATTACGAATTTTAGTAATATTACGATTTTTCGTATTGGACTGGACTGTCTAAGGATGCACATTACCAGGCTTGCTTCGGATGCTGAATCTGACCTACATTTTCCAGATGAGTGAACAGGTTATAGTTTTTGGTGCAGGTCTCATTTCCAAGTTACTGTAACTATGAGCCTCTTTAATGACCAAACTTGCTTGGATGATTCATCTAAGGTTGCATCCTACCAGGCTGGCTTTGGATGCTGTATCTGACCTACATTTTTTTATGTATGAGTGAAGAGGTTAAATTTTTATGCAGGTTTCATTTCTAAGTAACTATTAGCCCCATGTTGTGCAAACTCGCATAGATGATACATCTTAGGATGCATACTAATGGACTTGCTCCAGATGCTGAATTCGACATACATTTTCCAGATAATGGACCAGGTAAAAAGTTATGGGTGCAGGTCTATCACCAAGAAACTATAAGGCTTAAATGAACCAAACTTGCCCAAATGATGCATCAAGGGATGAAAACTCTTAAACTTGCTTCAGATGCTGGATTTTGATCAAATTTTGGTGATGAAGAACTAGTTGAAGTTTTTATATAGGTCTATTCCAAAGTATCAGATCAAAATTTCATAAATGTTGCATTTTTGGATGTACACTTTTTGTTGCTTAATTGTGTGACTTTGCTTTACTTAAAGACAACATTCGTTGAGGTGAGCTCTGTAATCTCTGATTACCTATGTTTTTAGATGGAGGCAGACCAAACGGCTGCCAGCACATATACTTACAGTCCCTGAAACGTTCTACTTTCCCACCTGAACGGTGAGCGAACGCTGAACGAACGGTGAACGAACGCAGAGCGAACGGTGAACGAACGGTGAACGAACGGTGTGTGAACGCTGAACGCAACTTGGTGAACGATGTGTGAACGGAGAACGGTGAGTGAACGCAGAACGCGAACGGAGCGCAAACGGTGAACGGTGAACGAACGGTGAACGCAAGATGAACGATTTATTCGGAATGCATCAGATTTTTTCCTTGCATTTAAATTATTCTGATATATTCTAATGTTAGATGCTAAAATATAAATAAACAATAAATAAATAAGTGAATAAATAATTAAAACATTTTTTCTGCACATACGTTTGATGTTTTAAATCAATATTTTAATAACACGATTCTTATTGCCGTAAAACATGTGTGTTTGTTACCGAATATCTGTCGTATAAAAAATAAAATTAATTTACTAATAAAATAAATCTGCTTATTCTTTTGACTATTAAAATAATGTGGACTTCAGAAGAGAAAACTACTATACTTACAGAATGAATTATTAATTAAATCTAAATAATATATTAATATTTCGATGTCACGGCGATTCCGTGTAAAATACCGATTTTTTTATTACTTTATAAAGGTTTGTTGACATATTGCACCATTCACTCGTATTAAAAAAAATATGCTATAATTTTATATATTTATTAGTTATTTTTATTTTGTCTGGTTATTTTCTAATCTAAGTTTTACATGCAAATGTATATCTGAAGACATTTCCCGACAATGATTATACTCGGACAAGATAATGGATAGAAGCATTCAAATTATTTGTAATAGATTAGAATTTCAGAACTAATAAATAATAAATATGTTGTCATAGTTTTTATTTAACATGACAAATGTAATAGCGATAGAAACTTGAGAGAGAGAGAGAGAGAGAGAGAGAGAGAGAGAGAGAGATTTGTTGCATCGAATGAAAATTCATATATTAATCTTTTTCTAATATTCCAGGCAGTCAAAGTAATCATTTTTTTTTTATTAACAAATCCATTTGACAGTAAGCATCGTTTTTTTTTCTTTCAAGTTCAAACGATTCACTCCAAGTGCACGTGCTTGTCCTGTCAATCAAAATAATTCGACACAATGGAGGTGTTTAAATCTCGCTTCACTGAACATGCCGAAGTCAAAGAGTCACTTCGTATTCCCAAGAAGTTTTAACATTTTGTTTACATCATTTTTAAATTTGATTTTCGCTTTTCTACGGAAAAAATGAATAAATAATTGAAATACATGTATATACCTGGAAGGATTAAGTTTGAAAATGAATTTAAAACATAATCCCTGCCAAATCAAAATACCACTGTCGGCACATGTATGTATATAATGACTGTTTTGGTGTTTGTATAAAGAATAATTTTTTCTGTGTTACATGTACAATACACATTGAATATTAATTAATATATACTGAAAATACTAACTAAGAATTTGATTTCGGGAGAAAGGGTGCCGGGAGGGGGGGGGGGGTGCTGTTAAGCATACTGAATGGCAAACGTATATTTAGTTACTTGAAGGAAGGTTTTTTTCCTTTGTAATGATACACTTTATTTACGTGATTTAGAACCAAAAATTCTATTGTATTAAATTTTAAACAGTTTGTCTTTTCTAAAATTTAGAATCACACTAACAATTTAATTCGCTCTACAAATATTTAATTAACTGAATATCTGTAGTACTATTCATAATTCTCAGACATATATATAGTTCTAGCATGTTTGTGTTTATTTTTTCTTTAAAAACTTGTTAGACATATTTTTTTGTATATTCTTGTCTTGTAAAATTATTATTCATCTATTAACGATTTTTTGTCGTCTTTTATATTATAACGAAATGCCGCGCTTTAAGTATTTGTTTAGGGACATTGCCCTTATTTAAATTTAATATTTTAGCATCGTTCTACTTACATAAATACATGTATGTTCTTAATGTATTTTTTCCAGGAAAAAATGGATAAAGTAACAGCTAAGTTATAATAATAGAAATATATATATATATCGTAGATACTTTTTGCATTGAAATAATTATTCTTTAAATACGATATCTCAGTTATTTAATTAAAAAACGTGTTAATCCTTACCATCAAAAAGATAAGTCCTTTCACTTCGGAGTTCCGAATGACAATAAAGACTGAACAATAAGTGAACGGTGAACGCAAGGTGAACGCAAACTAAACGGAACGAAGAGCGAACGGTGAACGTTTTGTGAACGGTGAACGCGAGCGCACGGTAAACGGTGAACGCAAAACTGTGAACGGAGAGCGAACGGTGAACGCACGCTGAACGAACAGTGAAGGCACGCTGAACGAATGGTGAACGAACGGTGAGCGAACGGAAAAATGGGAAAGTAGAACGTTTCAGGGACTGTATAATACTGCTTGGTTCAGCATAAATCAGAGTAGTATTTACAAGGCAGTTTAAATGTGTGCAGCTCGTCCATTTATGTTGGATTAGTTGTATCATGTGTTTAAATATATACACTAGTGTACACTATGCAGCTCTTATGATGTGTTGTCAGTCTTGTATAAAAAGTGTCCTTTAAATATTAAATATTAAGTGTGCATATACTAGGGTCCTTTCTCCCTCTGGCAGTATATGTAAACTGTAAACAATTTTTTATTCTCAATGACTTAATTTTGGGATTTACCACAGGTAAACTAGTTTGCGATGATTAATTTTGCAATCAAGACTTTTTTGAATCTGTTGTTGATAGACACAGAGAGTGTAAGGACAGGTTTGCGGTGAAAAATATCAGCGATGATTACTATTGACGAGGCTCTTGCGAACTTCGCAAAAATTTTTCTCACAGGAATAAAAGTTGGTTTACAGAACATACTTTATCTAAAACCCATACATGATCTTTCACTGGCTTTGTGTTTCAGACTCCTGGCCCAGATGAAAGTCCCTCTGTCTATAAACCAGACATGATATGTTTATCTGTAAACCAGACATGATATGTTCCTCTGTAAACCAGACATGATGTAAACCAGACATGATATAAACCAGACATAATATGTTCCTCTATAAACCAGACATGATATGTTCCCCTATAAACCAGACATGATATGTTCCTCTTTAAACCAGACATGATATAAACCAGACATGATATGTTCCTCTATAAACCAGGCATGATATGTTCCTCTTTAAACCAGACATGTTCCCCTATATGATATGTCCCTCTATAAACCAGACATGATATAAACCAGACATGATATAAACCAGACATGATAATAACCAGACATGATGATAATAGGTCTCTATATAAACCAGACATGATATGTTCCTCTATAAACCAGACATGATAATATGTTCCTCTAACCAGACATGATATGTTCCTCTATAAACCAGACATGATATGTTTCTCTATAAACCAGACATGATATGTTCCTCTATAAACCAGACATGATATAAACCAGACATGATATGTTCCTCTATAAACCAGACATGATATGTTCCTCTTTAAACCAGACATGATATGTTCCTTTTTAAACCAGACATGATATGTTCCTTTTTAAACCAGACATGATATTGTTCCTCTATAAACCAGACATGATATAAACCAGACATGATATGTTCCTTTTTAAACCAGACATGATATGTTCCTCTATAAACCAGACATGATATGTTCCTCTATAAACCAGACATGATATAAACCAGACATGATATGTTCCTTTTTAAACCAGACATGATATGTTCCTCTATAAACCAGACATGATATGTTCCTCTTTAAACCAGACATGATATAAACCAGACATGATATGTTCCTCTATAAACCAGACATGATATGTTCCTCTATAAACCAGACATGATATAAACCAGACATGATATGTTCCTCTTTAAACCAGACATGATATGTACCTCTATAAACCAGACATGATATGTACCTCTATAAACCAGACATGATATAAACCAGACATGATAATAACCCCCTGTCTGTAAACCAGACATGATATGTTCCTCTATACACAAGAAATGATGTGTTCCTTGTTTTGTGTTTCAGACTTCTGGCCCAGACAAAGGTCCCCCTGCGGAATTTACTGCGAGGTGGAGCCCAGACCGAATCCCTCAACCTCAGCCTCAAGGACAGTAATGGACGCCCCACTCAGGTAACGGAACCGGTCAGGGCTGCTGGTAATACCTGTAGCATGGAGGCTTTACATTTTGCTAAGAAGCCCCTAACAATACACAATAAATCTGCCAAGAAACTTAACTTGAAAATCAGTAGGGAGATTCTACTTAATATTTAATCTGCAATGTTATTTCAAATTTTTTAACTGATGACTTAGGGCCGATTTGGCCCAAATTTGCAAATTCCTTCCATTTTTCCCAAAAATGATCAGCATGTGTTGAATTTTTAAATGCATATAAATTCCACAAAGTTAATTTGATCAAAATTCACGAAAAACAAACATGGTCAGGTTTGAAATCTGAATGAAATGAACAGTTGTGTTTTAGGAAAGTTTGCTAAAACTTGAGATAATAATTTATCCATTCTCTGAGCCCCATTAGGGGCTGCGGCAGTGAATAAGGAGAGTAAAAATCAATTTTATTCATTATAAGTGTTTATTTCAATTTGGAAAAATATTATGCAATAAAAATTCCTCAAAAATGATAATATTTCGTTTATTCCCAATTTAATTACCTTGGGCCCCATAGCCCAAAATGTTTTTTATAAATCCCTATGCTATGATATTTATATATATATATATCAGTGTCCTCACCAGGGAGTCCCCCATAACCTTTCCTATAAAGTAACAACATTAGGAACTTGTAATATGCATCCCTAACAAGTACGATGTTATATTTGTTGCATGAGTATGCTATGGTATTTTTTTGTAAATGAAAATTAGATTTTTGCAAATTTTTTTCATCTAGACATTTATAAAAGACTTGAGATAGAATTTATTTATGTGGTACAGGTGTGATCAGAATCAAAAATTAATTTTTTCATCATGTTCTTATCTTTGTAATAAAAGTGGAAATAAAAGAGAATTAAAACAATTCTTCTCTTTGATGACTAATTATAGAGTTGTGTTTTATGTAGTTTGCTTTACTTTCACAGGCCCAGCTTGAGATGAAGTTGATGTACAAGCCACCGGCCTCGGCAGCCCCACCTGCTTCTTCAGGGGCTGCGGGGGGCAGTGACCCCACCCAGGAGAGTCAAGGTGGGTATTCAGGTCTTGGCGTTCTAAAATGGAATGAAATGCATGTAGTAGGGGCAAGTCTCAATTTGCCCGCCAACACCGGAGGGGCATGGAAAATCATGAGTGTACAGTGAAACATAAGGTCAGCCTGAGGTCAAGGTTACATTAGATGTCAAAGGTTTCTTAAGCAATGATGTACATTGATTTGAACAGTAATATGAAGATTGAATCACTGGAAAAAGTTATGCAAGTTGAACATTTGAGTTTAAATATATTTATGTGGCTACCTGTTGGAAAAGAGTGTGGCCATCCTGCCATTTTCTCCAAAATGCCCCCCCCCCCTCCCCCAGTTTATGACTAGGGATTTGATCTAATAATAATTGTTCCATTATGCAAAAAAAAAAGTTACAGTGAGCACTTCTTTGTTACTCTTTATTATGTATCAAGAAAAAATTGATATTCCCTCAGTATACAGCCGTCTGTCCTACGGAGACATTGATCCCGACAATTGTAACAGGTGTTGTAAAAAAAATATACAGTCTTAGTGTTTGGGATGGTAATGGAGACAGTTTTAACTCATTTTATAAGTGATAAAAGACATCAATCAATATAAATAATGGAGAACATTAAGACCACCCTTACCCGGGTGGGAAATCTGGGGAACTTTTCCATCAGCATGCCGAATTTATCACGAGACACGGAGAAAACTGAAACAGAGGCGGGGCCTGTGGAAAGTTTACAGGTACCTCAGTATCAGCAGCCGGTTAGTTGTCAGTCCAGTGTACAAGGTAAGGAGATTCTAATAGTTACCCCATCTAATCTGTATCACCCCCCTCATACCTCAGTACCAGCTGCCGGTTAGTTGTCAGTCCAGTGTACAAGGTAAGGAGATTCAGACAGCCACCCCTTCTTATCTGTACCCCCTACTCCCAGGACCTCAGTACCAGCAAGTCCAGTGTACAAGGTAAGGAGAAGTTAGACAGCCGCCCCTTCTTATCTGTAACCCCCCCACCCCCACCCCCTTATACCTTAGTACCAGCAGGTGGTTAGTTGTCAGTCCAGTGTACAAGATAAGGAGGCCTCCTCCCAATTATCAGCCATAGTTGTACCAGCAGGCAGTTAGTTCAGTCTAGTGTGCAAGGGAAAGATAAAACCCCTTTTCTCCCCCAGGACTCAGCAAGTATCCTCCCAATCAAGTAGCTGTTAGTTTGTCAGTTCATTTTGCAGTTCTGGGTAAGAAAATAAGTTATGTCTTTGTAGCTGCCTCCCTTATCAGTATTAGCTGATTATTTGTTGTTGGTCCATTGCACAAAGCAATAAGCCAAACAGCCACCTCTCCCACTTATTCGTAAGTTTCTTTGTAACCTGAATGGTAGCTCTTTTAGGAATGAAATTAGTGAATTTAATAGCTGGATTATCTGATCATTTAAATAAAGTCAATTATTATATCCTGTTAATTAAACTGATGGATTTTGCTGACATAAAGTAGAAAGGAATCTATCAGTCATGGCTGGACTGTTATTTACAAGATGCATAGCTAATCTTCCTGAAGTATAATATGCAGGAAGCAAGTCGTACACATACAACTGTTAAACTCTTACATACAGGACATTGAGGAAGTTACTGCTTGTTCAGTCTGTTAAATCTGACCTTGTCTGATCTGAATGTGAATCTGTGTACTGTGGAAACTACCCACATAAGCAGCTCATAACACACATCTGCCCACTGCTGGTAATCTTGTCATATCACATGTGATGTTTACCTGCATAAACACTTCATATCGCACATCTGCCCATGTAATAATTACCTCATAAACACACATGCTCATACAGCTTTTAGGGGGATTTTATTCTATACATTATGGTAACCTATGATTGTTATTTATAGGCCAGGTTATGGGGGACTCCCTGTGAGGGACACTGATATATATATAGTAACATTATGATTGTTATTTATAGGTATATTTATAGGTCAGGTTATGGAAGATTTCCTGTTAAGGGATACTGATCTATTTATAGTAACTATGATTATTATTTATAGGTGAGGTTATGGGGGATTACCTGTAGAGTGATACTGATCTATTTATAGTAACTATGATTGTTATTTATAGGTCAGGTTACGGGGATTACCTGTAGAGGGATACTGATCTATTTATAGTAACCTTATGATTGTTATTTTTAGGTCAGGTAATGGGGGATTCCCTGTTGGAGGGAGATGAGGAGGAGGAGGAAGAAGAAGTGGACACTGGTCCCCCCCAGATTGACCCCGCCACTGGACAGGTCATCCCCAAACCCAAACGGAAAAAGAAGCGGGGAAACAAAATGGGGCGCAGAAAACTACTGGAAAATCTCTCCACCAAGCCAACAGACTTCCAGGTACTGTAAATCACTTTTTATTCGCGAGAACTTTATTTTGGCGTAATTACGCGAGACAGTATGCTCGCGAAAATTTAATTCTCGCGTATAATACATTGCCTTAAGATTATATAGAGCAATGACCACAATTCGTGAAAATTTTGTCTCGCTCATAAAGGGTCAATGACTTCGCGAAAATAAGGTGTCGCGAAAATTAAGTGATCTACAGTACTCAGCATATTGATCACTAGAACATCTTTCTTACTGTCCATTTTCTGTCATTTAGAGATTCACACACACCCCGATCTTCAAATGTTTTAAGTAACAAATTTAAACACACCCTTAAAACAAAAAAAGTAATTTTCAAATGAATAGGGATGAAAAGAAATGTCTGTTACATTAAAAAATGTAAGCTTAAAACTGAAAGAAATTTTTACTTTTATCATATGAATTAGGCTTGATAATAGAGTTGTTTTGACTGCCCCAGCTGTGCCTTTTATGAAAATTGAATTTTTATACAAAGGTAAACATCCAAACAAGTTATTGACTCTGAATAAGGTTTTGACAGTATGTAGTTTTTGTCCTATGTACTGATGTGTACAGAGCATGTATACACAGTAGGCATGTGCTGCCCCCTATTGATCATAATGATTCAGTAATAACAGATTGTTACGTGCTCTGTTTGTCTTGTGAGGACAGGGGGCCAGGGCTATTGCTACCAGAATAATACACAGATATTAGATTCCTGGATACAGCTGGTGAATTGAATGGAGAAATCATTAACTCGTATAAAAGTCACCACTCGACTGTAGAGGAATGGCATTTGTGGCAGTAATTACATGTACTCAGAAACACAAATAATCTGTGTTTGCTGATGCAGTTTTTGGTGTGGTTAGTTTAACAAGATTAAATAATTACATGCAAGATAATGTCAGATAATATTGATAATTTGTATAAAATTCCCATCAAATTATTCTGTTCTTTCAAACACTGTCAACTTGCACATATGTAACAGATTTAGATTTATTATTTGGTCCCTTTATATAGTTTAGATCCACAGCATTAATCATTTTAAGTCTGACCTTTTTACTGCTCAGTCACCTCATTTGTCTCACTGTCAATCTTAAAAACTACATATTCCCTTACCAAAATCCTATACTACCTTGACCTTTATAACTCATGTTTTCTTTTTATGCATTTTTTGTAATAACAGGAAAATGAAGTTCTCGAAAATAAATTGTGATTTACATTATGTACTGTATGTTATGACTGTGCCTGCAGGGGGACACATATGGAGAATTGTGTTAGAGATCATGGTTCTTCTTTTGAAGAATGAATTTTTTAGCCTTGTGTAAAATGAGAATTAAAACTGTGACTTTCTACATTTTCCTAATACATATCATATAAACAATGATTTTTGTTAATATAATATATTGTTGAACCTTGTAAAAGAATTCTTGACTTTTGTCATTAGATCAGGGTCAAGGTCATAGAAGCCAGACAGTTACAAGGGGGAAACATCCAGCCTGTTGCCAAGGTAACTGTCGCCAACCAAACAAAGCAGACTCGTGTGAAGAAGTCGACTAACAGTCCCTGCTGGAACGAGGCTTTCTTCTTCAATTTTAAAATCTCCCCGGCGGAACTCATGGATGAGCTGGTGGAATTCAAGGTTACCATCATTTTTTTTATCTGAACATAAAATTTTTTATACATAAAGCAAGAATACTTGCACGTTTTCAGTGTTTAGTTTGGTTATCAGTCTTTTTTTTTAATAAAGATTTTTAGACTGTTGTTCATTTGATTTAGAGTAAAGATTAATTTACTTAACAAACAAAAACTGTTCAATTTTTATCAAGTGACTACAAAGCACAAATCAAACTTCAAACTTTGGTTTAGGCCAGTGGTCTATCTTCTTCATTCAAACCAGGTTTCATGGTTTTCATGTATATCAAAGATGATTTACAGAAATATATTAATGTTACTATTCCTCTTTGTAGGTTTTTAACTCCAAGAAGCTGAGATCTGATGCATTGATTGGCTCCTTCAAGGTAAAGAAAGAGAAAGTCTACATTTTGTTACTCGTTATAAGAGATAACTTACTGGGATACTGTTATAAGTTTCACAATAAATGCCTGAAAAGAAAGAAAATTATGCCAAGAGGAACAGCTAGGATATAACTCATTCTTCAGTACTGAATTCAAATGTGTGACCGAAGGGCTATTTTTAAAAAATGATCAATTTCATAATTTATGTATATTAATTGAGTCAATACCCTTCCTGCTTCTGAAAAAATTGATGGGAAGATAATCTGAAGTCTTAAAGAGGAGATAGGTGTCCAAATGTACAAGCATGTCTGAAATTTTATGTTCGCAATTTGGTGTCCACAGTGACTGTTTTTTAAATCAATAAGCTATTCTTTTCTGGTGAATCCTTTTTGAAGTATATAAACACTTGTTTGCATGTTTTATTGCATGACTTCTTTCTGCCTTATTCCATTATAATCAGAAAATATATCCAAGATTACCAATGGACACCGTTACTTACATAAGCACTAAACAAGTAACATATTACTAGAATTTAACAAGTTGTTAAAATATAAAAATAATGTAATCAATAAGGTATGATGAAATCATGTTTAATGTTATATTCAATGGAATTTATTTAAAAAGTCACATTTTTTATTTCTAGTTTCAAAAAAGGAGAAATTATGTAAGTAACATGGACTCCAAACTCCGAATCAGACTTTAAAAAAGAACACATAAATAAGATAATCGAACACTTGTCTTTAATACTTTTAATATTTCATTTTAAAGCTTAATAATTAGACTAGATTTCAAAGAGAATTAATGCAGACAAGTAAATTGTCAGATGGATTGCTAAATATCCTAGGTCTTCTATTTTGAGTCTTGTGGATCTTTGTGTCATTGTTACGAACATGATTCAGTCATTTCTTGTAAATCTGAAAGGAAAAAAATATATAAAACAAAATACACCTTGATGTTATCAATACATATGCTGTTTAATTATATTTATTATATGTCCTTGATTAAACCAGAAACAAGGCAATTAGAGCACAAATTATGTCACTACTTCCAGTTTTCGTGTCTCCTTTACGAACGTAATTACGTAAACGATATGGCAATATTAAAAAAATATTCAGTAAGTATTCATCCTTTGATAAGAATTAACAGAACAAAACTAACAAATATAGAATAAAATATAGTACAATGTAACTTTATCATTAATAGATTATACAAATAATGTAAAAACACTTATGTTCGTAACAAAACACGCGAATCAAAAGTTGATGCTAAACCGAAAGTACTCGACTCGGACAGATATATGCATTTTGTATGGTCATTAGCGATATATTTTAGTTTCTGATTAATAGCTACGTGGTATAAAGAAACAATGACTGTATTTATGTGTTAAACATTCAGTCAAATTGATACAATATGAATATACCTACCAAATCTATTATGTACGTAACTTCTTTTTTCCACGTGGACACAATGAGCATCGCCATGTTTTCTAGCAGACAGCTGCGCCACCTTTTTACTTTCGTTTTCAATTTATAATTATACCAATGTTACGGACTTCCTAAGGCAAACTTATGATTCATTGGCTGTTATTTTAGCAATCACACTGAAAGCTATTATGTTCGTAACGGTCAAGACACGAAACATTTTACAATCAAAGATCATTTTAAAATTATAAAAAGAACTGAGTTATGTTCATGAAGCATATTGTTAAAAATAATATAACACACGTACTCATTAATTAAACACAGAAATTGAACTTGACAAATTATTTAATGTTTGTAGAGAGGTGTCAAAAACTTCAATGCATAGGGACACAATGCGTTATGAACATAAACCATTTATTTTTAAGTTCAGAAAAAAATAATTAGGATAATTTTAGCATGTTTGACAAAATAAATATTTTATTTCATTTATATGCTAAGACAATGTACACATATATCATGCCAAATGATTTTACTTTTAATTAAAACAACATCTTTATGCCTATTCGAAAATAATGTCACATTTTCTGTGATTGAAATCCCCTAAATGCAATACAACAATGACCAATATTTTTTTATTCCTCAACTCACATTCTTAAAACTATTTATACTATATCCTTACACAAGTATCAAATCATATCAATATCAATATATCTGCTTACACATTATTTATTGGAAAATAAAGGAGAAAAGAAATATATTTTAAAAAATCACCAGTATTGAAGAATGAGTTATATATATTTTTATTTGGGACAATGTTTACTGCCTCAAATATAAGTCTAGGTGATTGATCTACCAGACTGTTTTCCTTTTGATGGTGTGACATGTTTAACATTAATACCCAGCTTTCAGTACTTTTAGTACTTTGATTATTTTGACAGTGTGATGTTGGTATGGTGTATCTAGAACAAAGACATGCCTTCCTCCAAAAATGGCTGTTGCTAAGCGACCCTGAGGATCAAATGGCGGGGGCCAAGGGTTACCTGAAAGTGTGCGTGTGTGTCATAGGCCCAGGGGACGAGGCACCGGTAAGTTAAATATATATCTATATACACGTATCTATAGCTGTATTCAGATCTTATTTTGAACTTTGAAAAGTAAGAGAATTTAAATGATAAAGCAAGTAAATTTGAATTCAGATTGAAAGAATATTGATAATTTAAGTTAGCTAAAGAAATTATTGCATGATTCCTTGAAAAGTTCTCCTTCATGGTGTTATTAGCTCACCTGAGCCGAAGGCTCAAGTGAGCTTTTCTGATCACATTTTGTCCGGCGTCCGTCTGTCCGTCCGTCCAGCTGTCCGTCTGTCTGTCCGTAAACTTTTCACATTTTCGACTTCTTCTCAAGAACCGCTGGGCCAATTTCGACCAAACTTGCCACAAAGCATCCTTGGGTGAAGGGGATTCAAGTTTGTTCAAATGAAGGGCCATGCCCTTATTCAAGGGGAGATAATTGAGAATTAGTGAAAATTTGGTGGTATGTTTTAAAAATCTTCTTCTTAAGAACCATTGTGGCAGGAAAGTTGAAACTTATGGGGAAACATCCTCAGGTAGTCTAGATTCAAGTTTGTTCAAATCATGTCCCCCGGGGGTAGGGCGGGGCCACAATGGCCGACCAAAGTTTTATATAGAAATATATAGGAGAATTCTTTAAAAATCTTCTTCTCAAGAATAGCAGAGCCATAATTGCTCACATTTATATGGAAGCATCCCCAGGTAGTGTAGATTCAAGTTTGTTCAAATCATGACCCCCGGGGGTAGGGCGGGGCCACAATGGCCGACCAAAGTTTTACGTAGAAATATATAGGTAAATTCTTTAAAAATCTTCTTCTCAAGAACAGCAAAGCCATGATTGCTCATATTTATATGGAAGCATCCCCAGGTAGTGTAGATTCAAATTTGTTAAAATCATGACCCCTGGGGGTAGGGCAGGGCCAAAATGGCCGACCAAAGTTTTATATAGAAATATATAGGAAAATTCTTTAAAAATCTTCTTCTTAAGAAAAGCAAAGCCAGAATTGCTCATATTTATGTGGAAGCATCCCCAGGTAGTGTAGATTCAAGTTTGTTCAAATCATGACCCCCGGGGGTAGGGCGGGGCCACAATGGCCGACCAAAGTTTTACATAGAAATATATAGGAAAATTCTTTAAAAATCTTCTTCTCAAGAACAGCAAAGCCATGATTGCTCATATTTATATGGAAGCATCCCCAGGTAGTGTAGATTCAAGTTTGTTAAAATCATGACCCCCGGGGGTAGGGCGGGGCCACAATGGCCGACCAAAGTTTACATAGAAATATATAGGAAAATTCTTTAAAAATCTTCTTCTCAAAAACAGCAAAGTCATAATTTCTCATATTTATATGGAAGCATCCTCAGGTAGTGTAGATTCAAATTTGTTCAAATCATGACCCCTGGGGGTAGGGCGGGGCCACAATGGCCGACCAAAGTTTTACATAGAAATATATAGGAGAATTCTTTAAAAATCTTCTTCTCAAGAACAGCAGAGCCATAATTGCTCATATTTATATGGAAGCAACCCCAGGTAATGTAGAATTAAGTTTGTTCAAATCATGACCCCCGGGGGTAGGGCGGGGCCACAATGGCCGACCAAAGTTTTATATAGAAATATATAGGAAAATTCTTTAAAAATCTTCTTCTCAAGAACAGCAAAGCCAGAATTGCTCATATTTATATGGAAGCATCCTCAGGTAGTGTAGATTCAAGTTTGTTCAAATCATGACCCCCGGGGGTAGAGCGGGGCCAAACTTTTGGATTCAAACTTTTCAATAGTAAATCAATTACTACTTTTTCCTAGCCACAATGCTCAGGTGAGCGATGTGGCCCATGGGCCTCTTGTTTTTTAGATAGAGTACTGCAAACAGTAGTACAGAATTATTTCTATTCTCCCTAGTACTATAATACTTTGGATCTCAATGTTTTTTACATTCTGATTATTTTTCAGAGCTTTAAAGCGGTGGCTGGAGAAGAAACAGATGACATTGAAAGGTAACATTGGCTCTCACTAAATGCCACGTTTCCTGCCATAACTGATTTGTTTTGTTTTTTAAAATATTGATGAACATTTTTTGTCCATTATCTTGTAAAAATCTTATTCCAAGTGTACCTTGATTCACTTTCAATTTGTAAAAAAAAGAAAAGATAAAAAAGGGGGTTGTGCTTTGCAAAGTTAGTACTTTCAGTTACTGTAAACCAACTTTTATTCGCGACGACTTTATTTCGCGATTTACCAGGGAGAAACTAGTTCGCAACGATTAATTTTCGCGATCAAGCCTTTTTGCATCTGTTTTTAATAGACAAATATACTATAAGGACCGGTTCGCGGCGAGAAATATTCGCGATGACGAGTCTCTCGCGAACTTCGCGAAAATTTCTCGCACGCGAATAAAAGTTGGTTTACAGTACTTTGAAGTTCTGATCTCCACTTCTTCGAGGTTTTTCGATGAGTTATGATCAGTGTTCGAAATTCGGAATTTTTTTCTGTGGGTCCAAAGGACCCACTGATAAAGGGTCTACACAAGTCCTTCCAAGGCAGCATAGGCCCAAAAATAATACCATCAAATATTTTGGATAAATAAACTTTAATTGACAATCTTGATAAGTTTATCAATTCTTTACCAATAAAAAATCATGTTATTTAATCAAAAAAAAAAATACAAAAAATATTTTAATATTACTGTAAACATACATTTTGTTTCCTGTAACATTCAAAAAAAAAAAAACAGGGTCTGTCTGTAGGTTTGTTTGTCTAATGTATGATCTCACATATTGAAGCATAATATAGTTTCTATTTAAAACATTAATTTTCACTTTCCCTAAATACCTAAATAAATAGGGCCAAACATCGCAGGACTGAAGTAAACAGGTGGGATATTTACAGTAGACACCCAACATGGCTGTCTTGCGATAGAAAACAAAGCTAAACAAATGGGGGGAGGAAATGGTAGATGATATAAAAATGATTATTCCTCTTCATATTTAAGTGAAGGTTGACTAGGATGACATATTTATATTTCAACTAAAGCTACAATTTACTTTCTTTTTAAAAATTGCATCAGCTGTTTGAAAGCACCGGCACAGATATGGTAGCAATTTGAATGTGTCAGTCGGGTTATAGAATAGAAACAGATTTTTAGGCCTTCTTTCTTGGCAAATCATCATCGGCCCAAAATCATTTCAAGGACCCATTTAGTCATACTATACATGAGTCCTTCCGTTTGTATGTCGGCGCAGGACCGACGGGCCGACGCTAATTTCGAACACTGGTTATGATTGAAATCATAATGAGTTATGATCCCCTGTGTTCATTGATATTAGCCTTGTATCTGTGTTTATTTCAGTAACTTACTCCGTCCAGCTGGCGTCCAGTTGCGGCCCGCGACCTTCATCCTTAAACTTTACCGCGCAGAGGATATCCCAAGGAGTAAGCTGACGTTAATATATTGAATTACGAAATGAAAATTATGTTTTAAATAGTATAGCAAAATCATGATAGTTCCAATTGAGCTATGATCGTTACTTATTGTCATTTAAGTAGAAGAATAATATATAGAAAATTGAATCAATTTTATATAAATTTATACTATTATAAGACAGAATAATGGTATTTTTTCTTACACATGAAATGTTAATATATCAGATATAGAACTTTAATTCCTAACTGGATAAATGTTCTATTATTAATATCACTTGAATGCTCCTGATCTTAAATAGATCTAAATCTGGGTAACATGGTGTTGTAATGATATATGGATGATCTTGTTCTTAACAGTGGACTCGGCCTTTATGCAAGGAGTGAAGAAGGTGTTTGGAATTGGAGAAGAACAAAAAGAACTTGTGGATCCTTACTTTGTCTTCAGCTTTGCAGGAAAAGAGGCAAGATTGTTTTACAGAAGTGAAATTATAAAGAATTGTAGCGAAGCCTTTTAAGATTATCTAGTAACAATCTTTAATTACTGCAGTTACTTTTAGTAATTTGTTTACAGGTGCAATCTAAAATCGTGTATCGAAGTTACTTACATCACACATCATATTTGTACTACAGGTGCAATATAAAATCTGTCCTGCAATGATTTACTATAGGTGCAATCTAAAATCATAAACTGCAGTAACTTATAAACGGGATTGTTTTTACTACAGGATCAATCTAAAATCATATTCTGCAGTAACTTCACAAGATTTCTTTATTACAGGAGCAATCTAAAATCATATTCTGCAGTAACTTAACAAGATTTCTTTACTACAGGTGCAATCTAAAATCATATTCTGCAGTAACTTAACAAGATTTCTTTACTACAGGTGCAATCTAAAATCATGTACAACAATGATCATCCTGACTGGAATCAAGTGCTAAAAATTGGGATTCAGTTTCCTTCGATGTGTGAACGTCTTAAATTCATTATCAGGGACTGGTAAGTTTATTTACTTAATAACACTTGATTATGTTGAAAACTTTGAAATTGTTGTGGTTATTTTATTTTTTCCTCCTACTGTGAAGATATACAATATCTATACTGGAATCAACATGTCTGCCTGCAGATCAGAATATGAGTTAAAAGATCAGATCGCTTTTTTTGTCTGAAGGATTTTAAATTTGGAACATCTGTATGATGCATGTTCCATATGCTACATCTGGCCTACATTTTATGGTCCAGTGATTCTGGTGAAATACAAGGCTTAGGTTATTGCCCTTCTGTGCTGTGTATCAACAAATCAAAGATTATTCAGATCAGAGTAGTACATATGGTGCTTCTTGAAATTATTAATTTTATGTATGCTTTTTTGCATTGACCTACATTTTACACTTGAGTGGCTCATCCTCAGGTCAGCATTAAGGCTTGTCCTAGTTTTATCTCAAGTAGTACTCACTTTGATTAGTGACAAAGGTAGGAATAAGTTCATCCCCAACTTACCACAAATGAATACAATGTACACCAACATTTCGAGTATCTGTAGAATTTTTTGTCTGAATTTATATAAAACTCAAACAATTTTACAGTTACAGTTTACTATATACAAAACACATATTGGATCATGGGGACTGACAACAAACTTACAATACCTTAACGAAACTGCTATCTCCAGGACAGTTAGTGATAGGCAAAGTATACATGGTAACATTGTCCATATTTTAATGTAGCCCTTTGGGAGGTATTATTCTTGGACAACACCAGTTGATTTTATCATTCATTGGATTTGTTAATGTTTTTCATGTGATGTTGATGCTATGTTTCCATGTGTTGTTGGCAATTTGTTGTTGGTTGAAATGTTACACTTTTATTTCAATTCATAATGGCTGCATTGTTTGTAAAAAATACTGATTTGAAGATTGCAGAGGTCGAACAATGGACTATCAAGCTTAAATGATGAAATGATGTCAATGTTGAGTTACATATTGTAGCTGCTTGAAAATGTAGAAGTCTCTAGCTTAGAAAGCATGATTTTTAGTCTTGATTTCATAAAATTATTTTCTTTTTTTTTTAGATTATCCATTAGAATTTAAGTCCCCTTCCCTTTATTCTTATTAACAAAGTGGTTGAAAAGAAAGTTTTTTCATGAATGCAACAATTAGACATTTACATATTCAACCTTCATTGTTCTGTTTATTCAACCTTCATTGGGCTAAAATTATGGGATTATAAGCTAATTTCACTGCAAGTATGCAATTTCGTTTCATCAGCATTGTTAAAATGATAATAACTTTTATAATGCTGTTGATATCAATTTTACATGTTACACTTATAATGATTTTAGTGTAAAGGCTAAGTAACATTTTCTATTAAATGTAGGTCATTATTATATATTTACATCCACTGAATATTTTTTTCTCCTTTATTTCTTAAGAAAACCTATTGCGTTAATCACTGCATGAACTACGGTATAGGCATGTCACCTGTACAGATTTCTTGATCAGTGGCTGTTCCATCAATGAAACGTATAAAGATGTTTGCATCATTAATACAATAATTAAACTTTTTAATCCTTCTTTAAATGATTATTTAAACAGATATAAATATAAACAATAAAATGTCTTTCTTTGTTTGTTATTACTGGAATTAACGGTCGCAGCTATTGCAGAAAATTTTTTTACATAACTCGCTTACGCGGGTTATGTATTTTTTCTGCAACAGCTGCTCCCGTTGATTCCAGTAATAACAAACAAAGAAAGCATTTTATTGTTTAAGACTAAGCATTGGTTGAAAAACTCGGACCCTTCTCCAAAAAAAGCAAGTACAGCTTGCATACATGTTAACCTACTGTGATGAAAAATAGGGAGATTCAGACCTCAAAAGCGGTAGCATTGCGCGCGCGTTGTTTTACGCTTGAATTTTCAATATTTTTCATGTAATATGCATGGATGTAGCCTTAAATGAAACCTACAATAATTAATCTTAAATATCAACTGCAAAGTTTAAGAAGAAGACAGAAACCCCTTAAGTTTGACATAAATTGTACAAATTCAAATAGTTTTTCATGCTCATCATTTTGCTTGGATTGGCTGTTTAACTTAGCCTTTTGAAGAGTGATATTTGCTGATATAACCTAGAAGCAATAATTCTGAATGTTCATTCAATTGTTAAACAAAACAAATGATGACATGCTTTTAACTAGATCTAAAACAAGTTCCTATCTTTCGTTATATAAATCAGATTTCCCGCGATGATCGAAAATGAAAGTAGAGATCTGCCACATGGCTTGGTCAATCGAGTGATTTCTATCGACTTTATTGATAAAATTGTGAGCTCCTGTGCTTTTATAGATGATGTCAAACATTTTCATCTAATTCTTAAAAGTTGTGTCTCCTTTTTCATGGCAGTGATGTTGACTAAATTTATCGTAACCAATGTAATCACTGGTAATCTTGTGCTGTTGTCGTTGTCAAATTCGTGCTTGAAATCTATGTACACATCGGTACTAAAAAACCGTTTGTATGCTTCCGAGTTAAATCACGCGATATCTAACGAGATTTTATGAGAGTGGCTTCAATAATGGATACCCAAGCAAACCAAAAATACTTTAGACGCAACTTTTGTAGAAAAGCGGTAGATTTCTGAATCAAATCTGTAGGCGGGAGATGGAGTGAAAAAGCGGTAGACTCCCGCCTAAATCGGTAGAGTTAACATGTATGACAGCTTCTGACTATTCTTCAGGTCATATAGTGGAACAATTCATCAGAAATACTTTTACAGCCTTACTGAGCCTGTCCAATGAGAGCATTGTTATACATTTCCTTTGTTACGTTGATCATCTGTGTTTGTTTACAATTCGTGCATGTTGTCTTGATGGCATGGCTTTTTATTTTATCTCGCGTACAGGGACAGGATTAATGAAGACGACACCATTTCCTCGTCTGCCGTGTCGATTCCTATGATTTCTTCCTCCGCTGAAGGCCAGGATGGTTGGTTCCCCTCCCACACATAGTACCAGCTTAACGCTCTGCTAACAGCCCAACACAAACGTGTTTGTAATTGGGACATGACTTTAATTATTTCAAAAATTCCTGTAGAATACTCTTGAAATCTCTCAAATTCATTTGCAATTATGGTTATTTTGTTTTTAATTGATCTTTTTTGGCAAATTTTAAAATATTTCTTGATGCGAGTTATGAAGAAATTTTCAGAAAGAGAGTAAAAAACTGAAAACTGTTCCTATGAAAATGAACATGTTTGTGTTAAGCTTTTTATTGTGGCAGCTAGTCAGCTATTATTATCAGACTTGTACACAACCTTGTAGCATAACCAGAGGTTGTGGTCAGTAACAGTATATCATCAATACATGTATATCCATGTAGTCACATATTACTCAGGGTGAGTGGAGGCAGGTATCACTGTATCTCTAAAAAATAATACTAATTATAATGTTTTCTTTTCCAGGAAGATATAATATTGCTCAGTATACAATATTTGCCCTAAAAAATTCACAAAAAGGGCAGATATGGTAATGATATGTGTGTAAAGATTTAATGTGCTAGGTAATTGAGTGCTAATGTTTGCATCTAATGTTGACATCTAATGTTAACGTCTAATGTTTGCGTCTAATGTTGATTATTTTTTCCTTGTGGCTGCCTCCAGGGATCGACTGAGCGTTGACGACGTCGTGGGGACACACTACATCCCGCTATCCTTGATGTGCTCCAGCGGAGATCTCGGTGATTATCTCCCTTGGCTTCAAACTCTTCTCTTTTTGATATTATTTTTTTCCTTCACCTTGTAGCTTCCCAAACTGTGGGACATTGCAGAGAAATGGTCACATGACACATTAGCATAATCAGACGTCCCAGTAAATACTCACTTTTGATGAGTGTAGCTCACTACAGTGGCACTGTTAGTCTTTATGCTAATAATTCCAGTGTCTTATACTTTGTAGCTGAGTGTCCGTGTGATTTTGAGTGTAGTGGCACTCTATTTTTATTTTCGTATTTTAAGCACTGTGATTTATACTGTTTTATCTGTGACTTAGGGATAGAATTAGCGAAGACGACACCATTGGAACTGAATTTCTATTTACCTCCCTTATCTCTTCTTCATCGGGCGGCAGCGGTATTTATTTTTGTCGGGAATCTTCTCCTTTTTAGTTTTATAACCTTTCAGTCAGAAAGCCGAGCTAGTGGTCATTGGTGTTATTACATTAAGAGCTTTATGTAGAGCGTTTTACTTAAAATATGCCTTATTAGTGACGCTTTTTGGAAGGGGGGGTGTTATTAATTAAAAATTATTCCAATTAAAAAGGGACTCATTGATTGAACTGAAAGCCAAACATAACTGTGTAAATGGTTTATCTGACTGAAATTTTTTTTTGCTGTGTAAACAATCAACTAAATGAATGAAAATAATAATATTATTTATTTTATTTTCCCACTCTTTGTAACTTTTAATCACAATTAATGACTGCACCTAGCTGTTAGCCTATAGCCAATAGTTAACAGACACTTAATTTTACTAACATCATATAATATAGTGGGTTCCACTGGAAAAATATCAGTAAATACTAGAATTCTTAACAGAAAAATTTGATCAGTTTTAATTTCTCAATTAACATTTAAGTTAATAAGACACTTTTATCTAATATGTTTATTGTTTATTTTACATTTATCGGTAGAGGTCTATGTAATTTTCACACACTTGGAGGAAAATTCTTAGATTTTTTAAAACTTAGAAACACATGAATTCAATAGATAAGCTGGAACCCACTACATATTATGGTCTCAACTTCTATGGATAACCCAACATTTTCCTTGTGTGTGGTAGCACATACAGTAACTGTTATATATTAACATCCACTGAATATTTTCTTTTTTGTGAAATTATGTATGTCTCAGAAGGGCTTGGATTAGGATAGAAGGGGCTTATTTGTTTAAGTACTTTTCCCCAACTATTGAATTTAATGGGTTTGAAATTTTAGAATTTTGTTGTCCATCACCTAAAAATATGAAGGTCATATTTAAAAGGTCAATGTCATATTCTATTGAGAAAGATAAATCATGTAAAGGTCATAGCTTATTAAAGCGAATTTGTTAAATAATCTGCCAGTTGATTTTAATAATTTTTGTCCCCCGCTTTCGCGAAAGCGAGGGGACATTAAATCTCATTCGTCTGTCTGTCTCTCCGTCTGTCTGTCAGTCTGTCAGTCTGTCCGTCACAAAAACTTTAACCTTGCCCATAACTTTTGATTTAGTGGAGCTATGACTTTCATATTTCACAAGTGTATTCCTTGTGACAAGACCTTTATTTGGGTACCACCAAATTTGACCTTTTGACCTTGACCTTGGAGTTTGACCGACTTTTTCACAAAAATTCCAAACTTTTACTTTGGCCATAACTTTTGAATAGTAGGTACTAGGACTTTCATATTTCACATATGTATTGTTTGTGGCAAAACCTTTCATTGGATAACAACAACCTTGACCTTTTGACCTTGATTTTGGAGATTTACGTACTTATGAAAAAACTTTAACCTTGACCATAACTTTTGAACGGTGAGGACGAAGGCTTTCGTACTTCACATATATAATCCTTGTGAGAAGACCTTTTATTGGATACCAATAACTTTTGCCCTTTGACCTTGACTTTGGAGTTTTAATTACATTTTAAAAACTTTAACCTTGGTTACAACTTTTAAACAGTAGATACTAGGACTTTTATATTTCACATATGTATTCCTTGTGGTAAGACATTTCATTGGATGCCAACAACCTTGACATTTGACCTTGACCTTGGAGATTTACGTACTTATGAAAAAACTTTTACCTTGACCATAACTTTTGAACGGTGAGGACTAGGGCTTTTGTACTTCACATATGTGATCCTTTTGAGAAGACCTTTCATTGGATACCAATAACTTTTACCCTTTGACCTTGACCTTGGAGTTTTAAATACTTTTTAAAAATACTTAAACTTTGGTCACAACTTTTGAACGGTTGATACTAGGACTTTTATATTTTACATATGTATTCTTTGTGGCAAGTCCCTTCATTGGATATCAACAACTTTGACCTTTTGACCTTGACCTTAAAGATTTATGTATTTATGAAAAAACTTTCACCTTGACCATAAATTTTAAACAGTAAGGGCTAGGGCTTTCATACTTCACATACGTAATCCTTGTGAGAAAACTTTTCATTGGATATCAACAACTTTGACCCTTTGATCTTGACCTTGGAGTTGACCTACTTTTAAAAAACTTTTTACTTTGGCCATAACTTTTTAACGGTCAGGATTAGGGTTTTCATCCTTCAAAAAAATCAACTTCAGAGTTACTTTCTAAATAAATGACATATGATAGGATGTTCATATTACACACAATATGTCATAAAAATAACATCTCACCCACAAAGACACCGAAAGCGGGGGACCACAATTCTTTGAATTTGCTTGTTTATTCTGTTAAATAGTGGTCCTAGGGGGCAGGGATAGGCCTCATAGTTAAAACAAATTCTATAAAAAATATATGATGAACAAAAAAAAAATTATTTTTAACATGGCTACATGTGTACATCTGTGCAGCATCACCATGTAGTTAAAAGCATGTAAAATGTTTAAAGTTTTCCCCACCAAGCCTCAACTTGTATATAGTAAGGGAGAATAAATGTATAGAGTCTGACATACCCAGTTAACATAAAATAGTTACCCACCCCCAAATGACACTCAGGTGACCATTGAGGCCCTTAGTCCTTTTGTTCTTTTATTTACATCCTTCAATACTACTCATCAAATCTGATATCTTAATTCTCTCATGCACATTCTATCTTATTTCAATTCTTTCAATTTAACAAAATGATTTTCTCTTATATACACATTTTCTATCATTTTATTTTATATAATATATAATAATTGATTTGATTAGTAGAATATGTAAATTTCGACTTATATCTTTATTTCAATTTATTTTTGCCTTCAAGGGCCTGGTAAAAATGAAACATGAATTTTATATGAAATTTTAATCACCATTTCTATTTTTAATAATGAGGTTTTTATTCTCTCCCTTCCCTGGCTGTTAAGGTCCAGAAGATGGTAATTGATTATTTACCAGAATTTTTTTGATTGAAATATATCTTTGTTTTATTACACAAATTATGCATTTCTCTCCAGTTAGAGGGGAGCACATTTTAGGCATTTCACCCTTATTAGAGGTGTGTACATATTAGGTATTTCACCTTGATTAGAGGGGGTGCACATTTTTGGATTTTCCCTAATTAGAGGTGTGCATATGTTTTGTTTTTTTTTTGTGTGGGTTGCTGAGATACTATCTGTCCTAGATTTTTTAACTGCAGAACTTGGTGAACAAAATTTATATAGTTTCTGTAAATTTTGAATGTTAAAAATAACTGTTCATTAAGGGGGAAAATTATGTTATTTTTGGAATTTGAAAATTTAGCAGTAATGCCTAATTTGTGAATAGTCAGTTGATTATACTTGAATGGGGTCATATTGTATCATAATATATATATATTTTTTAAATTATTTTTTTGTATTCCTACCCATTCATTTTACCATGTACAAGTATTCAGAATCTTTTAGTTTAAGTAGACTAATAATTACTTTATTATACTCTTCCAGCCCAGTTTGATAGTAACTAATATTCCCATTATTGCTTACTGTAATATTGACATAAAAACAATGCTTATAACATTGGAAAGTGTTTGGATTTCAGTGACTGTTTTTTGTGATTTGTCAAAATAGAATGATTGAATTCATACAAGCTTATACGTTGAATTGTTTTGTAATTTAATGTTTGACAGATTTGTGATATTTATCTTTATATCCGACCTCAAATAATAACTATTCCCTATGTATGCCATTATCTCATATAATAACACCTCCCTAACTTCTAGAGCATGGACAAGTTGCCTGCAATTCCTTGCTGTTGTCTGCATGTGTATCATAGAAGTGATGCTGTTACTCACTATAAAATATTAACTTTCATTTGTTGGTGAATGTAAATGTTTAAGTATTTTGGTTTTGTTGGCTGGGAACTAAATACATTTATCATACAGATATTAATTCATGACTTGTATATTTGATATAGAATTATTGAAATTGCTTCACATTTTTAAATTTAGCATTTGACTCTAATTTAAAAATAATGAAATAAAAAAGTATTAAAATAAACATTTCTAGTAATAAATTTAAACCTTTATTTCATGAAAATATTTAATTTTCAAAGTTAATAATATTGAAAATAAATTCTTCATACTAAGCAGCGGTCTTGGATGTTTCATTCATGCTTTTGATGTGATTTTAGGCTTTCTACCCACCTTTGGCCCCAGCTTTGTGAATTTTTATGGATCCACCCGTGAATATTCTGATTTACCTGATGAATATGATGACCTTAATTTGGGAAAGGTAAAGATTTATTATCACATTATATCTGTAGTTAAACCATAGCTCAACTGAAATGTATTATGGGGGAGGGGATTACTCAATGTAAATAAAGATGGTAAAGTTTAATCTGCAACTCTGCAAGAATTTTGATTGTTTCCAATGGAACTAAGCATTATCTTCTATATTGTATTTGTTAAGACAGGTCCTGTGAAAACTATAATGATTGTAGTTGATTTTGATTGGCTGATTGATTTGATTGACAGGGGTTGTAGTTGATTTTGATTGGCTGATTGATTTGATTGACAGGGAGAAGGCGTGGCCTACAGAGGGAGGGCGTTGGTTGAGATTCAGACTCTCCTGGGGGAGCTACCTGAGATACCTGTAGAGGATATTAACAATGATGACCTGCTGAGGGTCCAGGTAAGATGAGATACCTGTAGAGGATATTAACAATGATAATCTGTTGAGGGTCCAGGTAAGATAAGATACCTGTGGAGGATATTAACAATGATGATCTGTTGAGGGTCCAGGTAAGATGAGATACCTGTAGAGGATATTAACAATGATGATCTGTTGAGGGTCCAGGTAAGATAAGATACCTGTGGAGGATATTAACAATGATGATCTGTTGAGGGTCCAGGTAAGATAAGATACCTGTAGAGGGGTCCAGGTAAGATAAGATACCTGTGGAGGATATTAACAATGATGATCTGTTGAGGGTCCAGGTAAGATAAGATACCTGTAGAGGGGTCCAGGTAAGATAAGATACCTGTGGAGGATATTAACAATGATGATCTGTTGAGGGTCCAGGTAAGATAAGATACCTGTAGAGGGGTCCAGGTAAGATGAGATACCTGTAGAGGATATTAACAATGATGATCTGTTGAGGGTCCAGGTAAGATAAGATACCTGTGGAGGATATTAACAATGATGATCTGTTGAGGGTCCAGGTAAGATGAGATACCTGTAGAGGATATTAACAATGATGATCTGTTGAGGGTCCAGGTAAGATAAGATACCTGTGGAGGATATTAACAATGATGATCTGTTGAGGGTCCAGGTAAGATAAGATACCTGTGGAGGATATTAATAATGATGATCTGTTGAGGGTCTAGGTAAGATAAGATACCTGTGGAGGATATTAACAATGATGATCTGTTGAGGGTCCAGGTAAGATAAGATACCTGTGGAGGATATTAACAATGATGATCTGTAGAGGGTTTAGGTAAGATAAGATACCTGTAGAGGGGTCCAGGTAAGATAAGATACCTGTAGAGGATATTAACAATGATGATCTGTTGAGGGTCCAGGTAAGATGAGATACCTGTGGAGGATATTAACAATGATGATCTGTTGAGGGTCCAGGTAAGATAAGATACCTGTAGAGGATATTAACAATGATGATCTGTTGAGGGTCCAGGTAAGATGAGATACCTGTGGAGGATATTAACAATGATGATCTGTTGAGGGTCCAGGTAAGATAAGATACCTGTAGAGGATATTAACAATGATGATCTGTTGAGGGTCCAGGTAAGATAAGATACCTGTAGAGGATATTAACAATGATGATCTGTTGAGGGTCCAGGTAAGATGAGATACCTGTAGAGGATATTAACAATGATGATCTGTTGAGGGTCCAGGTAAGATAAGATACCTGTAGAGGGGTCCAGGTAAGATGAGATACCTGTAGAGGATATTAACAATGATGATCTGTTGAGGGTCAAGGTAAGATAAGATACCTGTAGAGGATATTAACAATGATGATCTGTTGAGGGTCCAGGTAAGATAAGATACCTGTAGAGGATATTAACAATGATGATCTGTTGAGGGTCCAGGTAAGATAAGATACCTGTAGAGGGGTCCAGGTAAGATGAGATACCTGTAGAGGATATTAACAATGATGACCTGTTGAGAGTCCAGGTAAGCTCAGTAGAATACCTGGAAATGTATGCATCACAGTCAATCCTTCTTATCTTGAACCGGATGAGACTTTAATAAAAAGACTGATGTATCCAAGGAGTAAATTTTTAATGTAAAAATTCATTGAAAAAAATAGTAGTAAACCGTAGATAACTTCCATCTCACTTTGACTTAACTATGGTGTTTAAGATCATTGATTCTATCTTTTCTTTCTTTCTATGAGTTTACATTTGAGTTAAATAGACTAAATGCCTACTTGAAAATGAGATACTAGTTTTTTGTGTATCTAGACAGCCTTGATTTTCATGATGTACCAGAATAAATTGTTAGCTTTGGTGAAGGATAATATAATATAACTCATGCTTCTTTCCAGAAATTCATGCGGCGTAGGAAGTACAAGCTCCATGCTGCCTTCCTCAACGCCACCATGGTCAGTGCTATTGATGCTCCTGTGGAGTTTGAAATCAGCATTGGTGAGTAGTGTTCACAGCATTTGTGAGTAATGTTCACACTTTGAGTATTTATGTAGAATGCTATGTGTATTCACACACTGCATTTATGACATTTATATTTTACAATAGACATGATTATAATAGAATTGAAATACCTTGTTGCTTGAACAGATTTAAATTACCTTTTTTACTTATTTAGGATAACTAATTTATTATAAAGATTTTAAGGAACATTTATACCATGAAGTATGATTGGAAAATTATATTTCTACTCAATTTACTCAGGTAACTATGGAAACAAACTGGACGAGAACACGGCTCCTTGTGCTTCCACGACTCAGCCGACAAACGCGGTGTTCGACGGCTGTCATTACTACTTCCTGCCCTGGGCCGGGACCAAGCCTTGTATTGTCGTGGAATCATCCTGGGAGGATATCAGCTTCAGGCTGGAGGGGCTCAACCTAATGCTCAAAATCATAGACACTCTGGTAAGACTCAAAATCATAGACACTCTGGTAAGGGCTCAAAATTATAGACACTGGTAAGGCACAAAATTATAGACACTCTGGTAAGGCACAAAAAATTATAGACACTGGTAATGGCTCAAAATTATAGACACTGGTAAAGGCTCAAAATTATAGACACTCTGATAAGAACTCAAAATTATGGACACTCTGGTAAGGACTCAAAATTATAGACACTCTGGTAAGGGCTCAAAATTATAGACACTTTGGTAAGGACTCAAAATTATAGACACTCTGGTAAGGGCTCAAAATTATAGACACTTTGGTAAGGACTCAAAATTATAGACACTCTGGTAAGACTCAAAATTATAGACACTCTGGTAAGGACTCAAAATTATAGACACTCTTGTAAGACTTAAAATTATAGACACTCTGGTAAGGACTCAAAATTATAGACACTCTGGTAAGACTCAAAATTATAGACACTCTGGTAAGGCTCAAAATTACAGACACTCTGGTTAGGACTAAAAATTAAAGATACTCTGGTAAGGGCTTAAAAATATAGAGACTGGCAATGCTAAAAATTATAGACACTCTGGTAAGACTTAAAATTATAAACACTCTGGAAAGGACTGCAAAATATATGGACACTTTGGTAAGACTTAAAATTATAGACACTCTGGTAAGACTTAAAATTATAGACACTCTGGTAAGACTTAAAATTATAGACACTCTGGTGAGGACTCAAAATTCAAGACACTCTGCTAAGACTCAAAATTATAGACACTCTGGTAAGGCTCAAAATTATAGACACTCTGGAAAGACTCAAAATTATAAACACTCTGGAAAGGACTGCAAAATATATGGACACTTTGGTAAGGGTTCAAAATTGTAGACACTCTGGTAAGGATAGGGCTCAAACTTATAGCCACTCTGGTAAGACTCACAGTTAGAGACACTCTGGTAAGACTCAAATTATAGACACTGGTAAGGCACAAAATTATAGACACTCTGGTAAGGGCTCAAAAAATATAGACACTCTGGTAAGACTTAAAATTTATAGACACTCTGGTAAAGACTCAAAATTATAGACACTCTGGTAAGGACTCAGAATTATAGACACTCTGGTAAGGACTCAAAATTATAGACACTCTGGTAAGGCTAAAAATTATAGATACTCTGGTAAAAGCTCAATATTATAGACACTCTGGTAAGGCACAAAATTATAGACACCCTGGTAAGACTCAATATTATAGACACTCGCGTAAGACTCAAAATTATAGACACTCTGGTTAGACTCAAAATTATAGACACCTTGGTAAGACTCAAATTATTGACAACACTGGTAAGGCACAAAATTATAGACTAGACACTCTGGTAAGGGCTTAAAAAATATAGACACTGGTAAGGGCTCAAACTTATAGACACTCTGGTAAGACGAAAAATTATAGACAATCTGGTTATTGTTCAGAATTATAGACACTATGGTAAGACTTAAAGTTATAGACACTCTGGTATGACTTAAAATTATAGACACTCTGATAAAGACTTAAAATTATAGACACTTTGGTAAGGCTCAAAATTATAGATACTCTGGTAAAAGCTCAAGATTATAGACACTCTCGTAAAAGCTCAAAATTATAGACACTCTGGTAGAGCTAAAACTATAGACACTCTGGTAAGGGCACAAAATTATAGACACCCTGGTTAGACTCAATAATATAGACACTTTGGTAAGACTCACAATTATAGACACTCTGGATAGACTCAAAATTATAGACACTCTGGATAGACTCAAAATTATAGACACTCTGGTTAGGACTCAAAATTATAGACACTTTGGTTAGGACTCAAAATTATAGACACTCTGTAAGGGCTCAAAATTATAGACACTCTGGTGGTAAGGGAGCAGGCTCAAAATTATAGACACTCTCGTAAGACTCAATATTATAGACACTCTGGTTAGGGAGCAGGCTCAAAATTAAACAGTCTAGTAAGGGATAAGGCTCAAAATTATAGTAGAAGCTAAATTAAAAGGTTTGAGCCCATTTATAGAATTGTAAAATAGTATTACTGATAGTTGACCTGTAATTGATGATTTACCTGCTTTTGTAGGAAGCAAACATAGAACAGGTTAAGATTGGGATCAAAGCCAAGCTCCCAACGCCTGAGTTAGCTCAGCTTCTGATCTCACTGCTCGACCAACTGGAACAGGATTGCAAGTGAGTGGAGAGTTTAATCTTATGAATAAATATAATGGTCACCGTTGGCTGACTTAGATATTTACTGGATCAACCATCTTTAATGTCTGTTTCTGATGAAAAAATGTAACATTACATTATATTATTGTACATTAAATTTTTGAAACTTCTGATAAATGCAAAACTCATTTAACTTTGATTAGTATTAAAACATCACTCAAGATTTATAATTGTATTTCATTATAAATGCCAAAAAATATTGATGTAAAATTTCTATATGAAGGAAACCTCTACCTGAGCCGAAGCCAGGTAAACATGTCAGTAACGAGTTGGACAGGCTCACTCGAGAATACCGACAGTTTGAGCTGGAGAATATTGGACACAGTGTGGGCAAGCTTAAACAGTCCGCTACAGATGTCCACGAAGCCATAGCAGAGGTGGAGAACTTCCTACAAATACTCCGAAATATGGCTAAAGAGGTGAGGGAAATAATGTAAAACTAGCTATAAATACTCTGAAATATGGCCAAAGAGGTAAGGGCAATAATGTCTAACTAGCTATAAATACTCCGATATATGGCCCAAGAGCTAAGGGCAATAATGTCTAACTAGCTACAAATACTCCGATATATGGCCAAAAAAGTGAGGGCAATAATGTATAACTAGATGATCATGTACATAGTTGTTAGAAACTATACAAACAGTAATAGATGTATTCTCAAACATGATTGTCAGTCTTATTCTTGACAATTTTGATAATGGTATCTATATACAGCCTCAGAACAGTATGCCTTTTGTCTGCATTGTTCTAGATAATTTTATTAATTGCTAGATTTTATTTTTAACCCTCGACTGTTGTTTATATTTACAGCCCCAAAACAGTATGCCGGATGTGGTTGTGTGGATGATCAGTGGAGACAAGAGGTTAGCTTACTACAGAATCCCGGCTCACGAAGTCTTGTGGTCAGCTAATCCCGAGTATATCGGCAAACAGTGTGGACGACTGCAGACCATTCAACTCAAAGTAAGTACCTAGTACCTAAAATATGTACATATCAAAATAAAAATTTTAAAAAACATGATTATTATGTGTATTAGTGAATTTTTGAGCTCAAGCAATATTTAAAACATGCACATATTCATCAAAAATTAAGTGTTATTAGCAACATTTCAGTCCATTCATTTTACAATCTCTCAGAAATAGAACTTTTCAGACAAGTCACATGTAACTTGTTTTTTCTTGTGACATAGAGTAGTTATAAGCTCATAAGTACAGAGTATATACTAGGGAATTTTTTTTGTGTCGGTATGTTATTTATTACCTACTTTCATTTTCTACTTTCAGTATCCAGGCGTGAAGGCAGAGAAGGAGAAGATAAGTGAGGTTCCTGCGATGGTGCGAGTGAAGATCTGGCTGGGTCTGGCTAACGAGGATGACGCCTGGCATCACATGCAGACAGAAGGAGAACAGGCCGTCTTCGCTGAAACTGTAAGTGGTTACAGACTTATCCAATACAAGTATAAAATATAAATCAAGGCTAGGAAGAAAGGTGAAAAACATATTTGCTAAAATAAAAAACATATTACAATGCAAAGAAACTTTTTAAGTAAACAAGTTTTTAGTTTGTTTGATCAGTTCTGTTTGGTCTTTATGCAGTTATTTCCCTGTATGCTTCTGATCAAGTCTGTATATGTATTTGATTTTTTTGGTTTAATTAACAGTATGAGAATGAGTGTAACTTGCCAGTTGTGGGATGGACAAAGAAGGGACCCCTCGGACGACCAAAGTGGTCAGATAGTCAGGGAAAGGTGACTCTTAAAATATGTTTAATGTCAATTGTAATCATACATTTCCAATATATTGTCAGCCATAAGCCTAAGGGTTATTTCTTAAAATCTATGAAAAGCTGTTATTTCAGGTATATAAAAATTTTATTGATATATTTCAGTGTAAGCTACCCCGAGAGATGTTCAATCCTCCCCCAGGGTGGAAGTGGGAGGGGGATTGGTACGTCAGTCCAGAACTCAGGTTAGTTGTGTCCACATGTGTGTCACGTATACACACAAGTAATTAGGTAGAGCCCTGTTAATATTCAACCTGACAGTTTATGGTTGCAATAAGAAGGACCTATTTTTAATTACAGTATGTTGTTTGTGATAAATAGGATCTATTTTGTAGTATGTTATTTGACAAGGACGCTGGACACAAGACTTACATGGAGGAATGTTACGAGATGCAGTCACGGCTACCAGCTACAAGTTGGGGACCAGCTACCAGACCGTGGACGGATGTGGTCAGTTCTTTACTAAGTATTTTCATCAAGTTGTTCATTCCTCACAATTCAGTCATGAAATATTTACTTCATTCTGGTTAACTACAGGGAAACCTGTCTAATCTGACATACACTGGGAGACATATTGTATGTCAAGATAAACAGGTTAACAGATTACACAGAATAAAGACTCTAAACAAAGAAAAAAGGAAAATGGGAATGAAAATCAAGATTGAAATTCGCAAATGAAATGCTTGGATGTTTATAATGTATATAATTTTATATGCTATTGAGTTAAAAAAAAATGCTTTTCTTTATACTTATAAATCTGAGTGGTATAAAAAATAAAATGTTCTGATTTTCCCTTAGTTTGTATAAAATTGTCTGTAAACAATTTGTGTTGATTATTGTAGAAAGGTGATGAGATGCCCCCTAAGGACTCAGTGGAGCTTCCCCCGGGGTGGGTGTGGGAGGATGTGTGGCAGATTGACCTGTCCCGCGCGGTCGACGAAGACGGCTGGGAGTACTGCGTAGAGGCCACAATGGGCGGTTACGGTCCAGTGGAGAAGCGGTACCACCTCTGTCGCCGGCGGCGGTGGGTGAGGACCAGAAAACTGGTGGAGGACGCCAAACAGAAGAAACACAAGGTAGCCACAAAAAGAATCGACTTTATACACAAGTCATAGAAATACTTCACTTTTTTTGATTAATTAGTACAATTCTCAGTTATTCTTGGACTTTCCGTAAGGCGTGGCATTCTCGACGTTTCATAATTAGCTTCTGAAATTTACACAGCTTTACTTTACTGTTGAAATATACATGAGATAGAAATTCGGCCAAATGTTAACAAGTAGCAAATAGCCAATAACAATGTTTGGTAGGGAAAAGAGGTGGGGCTTAAGTCATCTCATCATTGTCAACAACAATATGATATTATTAATTTCTTAACCAATGAGAATATATTCGCAATTTGACAGACGCTAATTACGTAGCACAAAGAATGCCACGCCTTACTGAAAGTCCAAGGTTAACTGAGAATTGTACTATGTTAGTTTACTTGTATCTATGAATAGACCAGTAGATCTCTCATTATCTGAGCAATGTTGAGTATTTCAAGGTAATTTTTTAATACATATAGAAACAAGAACTTAGTAGTTGTACTGGATTCACACATAGATTTGTTCCTCACTTTTAGCTTCTAACAAGAAGTTTATAGGATTCCAACTTTTTCTGTAAGAATCAGTTGATATTTTTCTTACTCATTTATTTCAGCACAGACTGGTATATTGTTTTCAGCATGATTTAAGGTTTTTTTAATTAACACTCTTGCTCATTTAATTTAATAACTATATGATTGTTCAGTGCAAATATCCCTGGACTAAGTAAGTTTTAGCGAATGTGTCTAAATGTTAGTGTTTCTATGAATAAAGTGTTGCATTTAAATTTTTGTAAGATATTTTGTAAAAAAAAAAAAAATTGAGTAGTGACAAATGAATCTGTTTATTGGTTACCATTTTTTTTCATTTGATAAAAAATAGGATATCCAATATTTGTTTAAATACAGTGGAGCCTCATTTATCCGGACGCTTTGGTTCCCAGTTAATTTGTCCGGATATGTGAAGCGTCCGGATACCTGAATCAACAGTTAAACAAGACAAAATAACATAAAAGAATTTCGTACTGATAAAGAATCGTCCGGATACTGAAGCATCCGGATATCTGGCGTCCGGATATCTGAAGGTCCACTGTACATTTATTTTAAGGTAGATAAAAATTTGACTCTATTCTAACCCTTCAATTGCTGTTGTCTTTCTGGTAAGCTACATGTAGTTAGCATGCAGTGATTCTGAATGTCATTGAATACTTAAAATTTTTGAATTTGTGTCATAAATTTAAGTAAATATTTTGAGTCTCCCAGCATGAATCAATTTCCTTGCGATGAAAAAAGTATTTCTCAAGAAAATGTTCCTTGTGTTTATTTTAAAGTGAAACATTTCATGGATATGAGTGTATGATGAAATGTAGTCTTTTGAAAATCCATATAAAAGAAAAAAAAAAGTATAAAGTGTGTAATTATAAAACTGATATAACGGTAAATGACAATCTTTTAAGGTAAAGAAAAAATAATGAGAGAAAATGATTATTTAAGGCCAAAAAAAATCAGTAGTTTCTCAGGCACCGCCGCATTGATCAATTTTATTGACATATTGAAAAGGTAAATAACTCAATTTTCTATTTTTCCAAGTTGAAAAAGAAAATCGAGTTATTCCCCTTTTCATAAATGCTAAGAAAGACGTTTTTATGCCCCGCCATGAATATGGCCGGGGCATATAGTGTTTGTCATGTCCGTCTTCCGTCCTTCCGTCATACTTTGCGTTTAGCTCTGTTCAAAGCTAAGTTTCAAAGTAACTATTCAAGATATTTTCATCAAACTTCATATATTGATAGATATTGATGAGAGCTATGCAACTGCATCAACATTTTTTGACCTTGACCTTTCCTTTGACCTTGACCTCACTTTTCTTAAATTAGTGTTTAGCTCAGTTTTAAACATACCATTCAAGATGGTGTTATCAAACTTCACATGTGGATACAAACTTGCACGGATGATGCATCTAGGGATGAACACTACCAGACTTGCTTCGGATGCTGGATCTGACCTATATTTTCCAGATGAGTGACCAGATTAAAGTTTTTGGAGCAGGTCCATTCCTAATGAACTTTCGTTAAGCCCAACTTGGACCAAACTTGCATGGATGATGCATCTAAGGATGGACACTACCAGACTTGCTTCGGATGCTGGATCTGACCTACATTTTCATTCCCAAGTAACTATAAGCCCTACCTGAACCAAACTTGCATGGATGATGCATCTAGGGATGGACACTACCAGACTTGCTTCGGATGCGGATTTGACCTATATTTTCATTCCTAAGTAAATATAAGCCCTACCTGAACCAAACTTGCATGGATGATGCATCTAAGGATGGACACTACCAGACTTGCTTCGGATGCGGATCTGACCTATATTTTCATTCCTAAGTAACTATAAGCCCTACCTGAACCAAACTTGCATGGATGATGCATCTAGGGATGGACACTATCAGACTTGCTTCGGATGCTGGATCTGACCTACATTTTCATTCCCAAGTAACTATAAGCCCTACCTGAACCAAACTTGCATGGATGATGCATCTAGGATGGACACTACCAGATTTGCTTCGGATGCAGATCTGACCTATATTTTCATTCCCAAGTAACTATAAGCCCTACCTGAACCAAACTTGCATGGATGATGCATCTAGGGATGGACACTACCAGACTTGCTTCGGATGCTGGATCTGACCTACATTTTTATTCCCTAGTAATTATAAGCCCTACCTGAACCAAACTGATCAAATTTTATACACATACAAATTTTCATTTGCTTTACTAATATATCCTCGGCGGGGCATTCACGTCCTATGGACATATTTCTAGTTATTATTTAATGTTGAATACCGGTACATATTATAATTAATTTCAGAGAACAAAACTGAAGAATTAGTAGATATCATTTAACTGCACAAATAACTTACAAAAAAAGGTGTAAAACCTGCTTCCCAAAATAAAAATCCTGCCTGCCGCATTGAATTTTGAATATTTTGGCTTGAGAAACTATTAATTTTTTTTTTTTTTGCCTAAATAAATAATATTTGAATCAGATCTGTTGGAGTATTGTCAGAGTTCTATCTATAAAGAATTTCCTTAATGGTGTTCGTAATGGTTTCATTAAAGGTACTTAGACACAGATTTGAAGTTAATATTTTCTGTGTAATATGAAGAATTATATATTTAAATACCATTTCACACAAAAATTAATTAAAAATCTTACTTCATTTAAAAGTTATTAAAATTTTAATTTTTTGGCGGGTTTGATTGACACGCCCTTGCACTTTCACAAATTTTAACTTTATTCTTAATCCTTAGGAAAAGTGGCAATCTTGTTGTGTATTAATGAGAAATATTAAAACATAAATCCAGAAAAATAATATTACTCAGAGTAGAAATGTTAGAAAGCAAAACCCCTTTACAAGTATCGTCATTCCGTTGTGTACAGAGTTTTGCAAATCGATCACACTTGTGTTATGAACACAGTTTTTGTAAACAGGGCAAGAGCTCTGTTATTGTTTGGTGTTTACGATTCACCGGGTGCGTTCAATCGCCAAAGTCTGTTCACCTTAACTGCATGGACTGACAATAAATTGTGTGTTTGTTTTGCTGTCGAACATGTCTACTCTGAATTTTCTGCATTATAGTATTAATATTTTAGAATTTAAAGTTTTAATAACTTTTAAATGAAATAAGATTTTTAATTAATTTTTGTGTGAAATGCTATTAAAATATATAAGTCGTAATACTATAGAGAAAATATGAACTTCAAATCTGTGTCCAAGTACCTTTAAGCCTTGCAGTTCTATCACAGGGAAAAAAACAAAATTTTACTTAATCAGGTCAGTTAAATAAACAGTGTTTTACACCTGACTGATTTTTCTGTAGGAGAAGAAGATGGAGGAAGCCGCTGAAGGCTGGGAGTACGCTCCCTTGTTTAACCTCAAGTTCCACCACACTGAACGCACCATGGACATGGTTCGGCGACGACGCTGGCACAGGAAGATGGTCTGCGAGAAGAAGGGAGCTGACTGCTTCTTCGCCATGAATTTTGAGGTAAAATACATGTACATTAGATGTCCCGTATCTGAAGTATTGTGAATATTTTCCTTAAAAAAAACATATTCATCAATTTTTGATTGTTAATAACAGACAAGAATGTTCTATTCTAAAAATGAATGACCCCCCCCCCCCAAAAAAAAAAAATTAAAACAGACTCCAAAAGTATTCTCATTGTTTATAATGTTTGGAGTATATTTTTCATTAATGTACAGAGTATATTAGGTCTTCGTGAAATGAAAACTTTGTGGGACCCCACGAGATCATGAAACCAAACGTATGATGAGTCAGAAAAATTATAAATATGGACAGTGAGCAATGGTTACTAACCTAACTTTATTAGAGAGAACTCTCCTTGTAAATTTACAAAATCTATTTTCCTTCAAAGCAGCTGTAATGGCTTTTGTTGGCTTCACAGAAATAGCTTGGCAATGCATGAAAATACTTGTTCTTTAGGATACTCATGCATTCTCAAATGATAATGTTAACTATACAAGCCGACTTTGTTATTTATATAATATATCGCATTAACTTTGGGAATTTTACAGAAAAAGAAGAAGGTAGGAGATTTGTATACTGTTAGCCTGGCCTGAATCTGTTGATGGAATGATTGTTTCAGCATGTTATAACTTGATGTATTGACTTTTAGTTTCCACTGAACGATCATTGCGTTCAATCCGCAGTGAAACCACTGCAAAATTTTATTACCTCCCCTGTAGTTTAAGGCTCAGTTCAGGTCTTTTTTGGTTCTAAGTTTATTTATTAGTATTGTCATTTCCACCATCTTTATTTTTTTCATTGTTTCATTTCTCTATAAAAATTATCAGCCGAACCTTCATCAAAAGGGGTTTAAATATCAAAAATAGCTGTCAATGTCAAGGATTTTTATAGGAGCAAAAACATGATTAGAAAATAGCTCTTTCCCTTTAAATATAGTATATAACATTGCTGGGGTCTAAGGGACATCCCTTTGCTTTCAAGTTGGCTTGCAAGAGTAGCGCCTCATCTTTATTTTGTTTTTTTAACTATGTCTAAGATTTCATTCTTAATTTAAACGATCTAAGATTTCATTCTTAATTTAAATGAATCTTGATTGAAAATAATTTCCTTTTTAAAAAAATCAGTTGACTTCATATAAATGTAAAGCCAAACAATAGTATTGAAAAAATGTAATGAAATCCTACTCTGAGAAAGAAAGAGGGAAATATGGCTCCATTGTGAGATTTCCCCTTGGGGGAATTCTTACTCTAGAGTGCAGATTTTGGGGAAAGCTGGCTATGGGGGAATTCCTATTCTTCAGTATCAACTAAGTGTATCATTAAGATAAAATCATGCTGAATTTGGGAATTTTACAGAAAAAGAAAAAGGTAGGAGTTATCTATAATGTTACCCTGTCATAATTCTGTTTTCTGGTCTGAATTATTATTTCAGCATGTTGTTATTACTTGTATTGCATTTTAAATTCACACTGAGAGATCATGAGAACTTAATTGAACTTAAAAGGGCAATGAATCCACTGTTAAAAAAATGAAACAACAAAAACTGCAGGCTTTTATTATCAACATGTAGAAAAGGCATTTTTTGAGGGGGGGGGGGGGGTAGGGGGATGGGGAGCCCTCTTGTCCAGTATCCAATTTTTTTTCGTTATTGAATTTTTTTTTAAAAGCTATTGGTATTACCCAATCTTTCATTAAAATGGAGGAACACATTTTATAATAAAAGAGTAGGAATTTTTTAACATTATAACATGCCCTCAATGACAACCCAGATTCCTTAGATCCTGCCAAAACTTTCACTTGTCAGTCCTTGGGTGGATTAGTGGTACTAAATACAAGATTTTTTTACCAGCAGGTAAGATTATGCTCATGGGAAAGTTATCAAGTGTGTCGGTCAGCCGGGTTCGATTGCCGGTGGCCAGATAGCTCAGTCTGTAGAGCACCTGACTGGAGTTTCAGGGGGCCAGGGTTTGAATCCCAGTCTGGTCCGCTGCATTTTCTCCTCTCCCGTTACACAAGATTTACAAACCTACAAAAAACAGAAGAAATATCCAAATGATAGAAAGATATGAGCTTTCATAGACATGTAATAATGAGAGCTATTATATTGTATATCATGCATTGATAAATGCATCCACAACAGATATATTGAATATACATATTGTGTATGTTATAATACTTGTAATATATATAGTCAAGTAATTGAAAGAATACCCACTAGGTAACGAAATAGATGATATTGGCATACATTTATATACAGATTATCAAAGAATGTTGCAAGGAATTTAACAATGTTAGAGTCTTCATAAATAAGTCTCATACCAAATATGTAATCTTAAAAATTTCTGTGATGGATGTATATCATTCTAATAGTATGAAATAAAAGAGATTGATATCCTATCTAAAACCTGTCAAAAATACTAACACTTGTCACCTTCATTCAAAGATATTCAGACAAGCTTTACTAGATTGAGATAAATTCTGACTGTCATTTTAATAAACCTAATCTTTTTCTGTATCTGACCCTCAGACTAAGAGTAATTAACTTGTTTTACAGGATGAAGATGACAAAGAAGACTTCAATGCAGCATACGCAGCTCCAAGAATGTTCCTGACATTCAAAAGTAAGCGGACCTTAAATCATTAAATATGAAAGACAGAAATAATTCCTAGCCTCAGTATCAGCTGATCATCCATTGATTGTCATGATGAGTGAAAATCGCAAAAGTTCTTTTCTCGTATTCTTACATTGTTTAAAAAAAAATTGATTTTTCTTCAAAATAAATACTTGGGTAAGTTTAAAATTTATATAGATCTTCATTTCTTTACGATGTGTTTAATTTTGAATTAGCTGAACAAACCTGTAAAGTTTTAATTGTAATAAGTATGAAAAGATATACCGGTAGTGCTTTGAATTTTAACTGCTCCTGTCAAATTTCATCAGTTTATTTAATCCTTAATCATTTTTTTCCCTTTGATATACAAGATAAAAACTAAAAATGAATTTGCATTCTTTCAGAGCCATACAAGTACCAGTTGAGGGCCTATGTTTACCAACTTATGGCCGGGGATACAGGATGAAGACTTGACATAAAGAAAATTATTAAAGGACTTGGACACAGATTTGCTATAAGGCCATATAAAATTAATCGCATCCCCGCCCGCCCCTCTCAAAATGTCCCGCCCCGATGTTTTTTATTTTGATTTTTGGGTATTTCCATGCATTTTTATTCAGTAAGAATTTGGGTCAAAGTTAAAGAGTTATCTCCCGTCTGTATTAAAAGTCGCGTGTCGCTATTTATAGCAAATTAAAACGCCATGTGAAGAATGGAGAAAAATCGGCAATATAAGCAGTTTAAATGTGTAAGGAAAAGATAATTTGTCAGTATAGAGAAGGCAGAGAAAAAAAAATAGCATAAACACACATAGATACCATCACTGGCAGGAGCAAGTATGTAGAGAGATTGTAACTAAGTAAAATAGACGAGGAAAATGATACCTGGTCAAGTCATATATAATAACGATCTCCAACTGTGTGACTTAGCTTTGAAATAATAAAAAAAATCTACAACATCGTAGACAGACTTAAGAGAAGGCCTAGATTTTTAAAAAAAATTATTAGAACATTTATATAGATTTTGCAAAATAAGAAGTCACACATACACAATTCATTGGTATCCCTACCTCATTTTGTTCAGGATGTGCCGTATAATGTGTACTTGATAATTTGTTGCGGGCGTCCATTGTTTTGTTGATACTTAGGCCTAAATATAAATTAACAATTATAAAAAATAAAAAATAAAATCCGCCCACCCGCCCCAATTTTTTTGCTTCTAAAGATTAATTTTACCTGGCCTAATATTACGACTTATATATTTTGTAAAAGTTTAATTTTGATATCGTTGCACTCTCACAAATTTAATTTTATTCTTAATCCTTAGGAAAAGTGGCAATCTCGTTTTGTATAAATGAAAAATATTAATGCTATTTTTAGAAAATTCAGAGTAGACACGTTGGAAAGCAAAACATACACACAATATATTTCCGTGCAGTTGTGGTAAGCAGACTGTGATGATTAACGTGATGATTCTAAATATATACCGAGCCTTGTTTACAAAAACTGTGTACATAACACGAGTATTCTCGATTTGCTTAAATCTGCACACATCTCTTAGTTCGGAATGACCATACTTGTGAAGGTGTTTTGCTTTCTAACATTTCTACTCTGAATAGAATTATTTTACTTGATAAACGTTTTAATATTCCTCATTAAAACACATCAAAATGCCACTTTTTAAGGATTAAGAATACCCTGTGAAATGCAAGGATGTGTACAAAGCCAAAAAATTTAAAGTTTTAATAACTTTTAAACGAAATAAGATTTTTAATTAATTTTTGTGTGAAATGCTATTAAAATATATAATTCGTTATATTATACAGAAAAAATGAGAAAATATTAACTTCAAATCTGTGTCCAAGTACCTTTCAACATCAAATAAAGAGCAAATGACTGGCTCCCTGACTGTACTTCTCATACTGACCAATACTACATATACAGAAAATTATTAAACATCAAATAAAGAGCAAATGACTGGCTCCCTGACTGTACTTCTCATACTGACCAATACTACATATACAGAAAATTATTAAACATCAAATAAAGAGCAAATGACTGGCTCCCTGACTGTATTTCTCATACTCACCAATACTACATATAAACAAAAATTTTTTAAACATCAAAAAAGAGCAGACAACTGTTTCTTCTGTATATTATATGGCAGCTGTATGTAAATGTAGAGGTCCTTATTCAGACTAATCTTCTGTCCGTGTTTTTCAGACCCGTAAAAAATAAACACTACTTCTAATGCAGACTGTACATGATTTTTATAAAATTAAGCAACCTTACCCAGACTAATCGTCCCCCGTGTATTTCAGACCCGTACGCCCGCATTTCCTTCCTGACCCAGAGCTCAGTGACGGAGAGAATGGAGAAGTCTCTCTGCCCCACCTGGGACCAAACTCTGATTTTTGAGGAAATTGAAATCTACGGTGACCCCCAGGCATTAGAGGAGAACCCCCCAGAAGTTGTTATTGAAATATTTGATTACGATAAGTTTGTAAGTTCAAATTCAGATTAGTCAGTAACTTTTGTGTCATATAGCAATTAAAGACCATATTAATCAAAAAGTGTAGTGAAATGAAAGATCAGCATGTTTTATAAACTGCATATTGATTTTTGATTTCTGCAATTCTATGCTCTTTAATCCTATCGCTAGTACTCAAGAATAAAGGGGACACTGTAACAAAAAGTGAAATTCCTCACTAACTCTCAAAAAAGAAAAATACATAACTTTTTACAGAATACAATGACATGACGGGTATATAGCAGTGTAAGCTTGACCATCAATTGTTCAACACAGCAACATTTAGTTAAACCCTATTAATGTGTTTTATCTGATTTTCAGGGGTCCAATGAGTTCCTGGGCAGAACGAAGGCCCACCCGATGGTGAAGCTTGACCCGTCCGATGCCCGCATGCCTGTTCTACAGTGGTACCCAATCACGCGTGGGCCAGAAGATGGAGGGGAACTGCTGGCCGCATTTGAACTCTTCCTGGTATGCTTCCAAGATATCACTCTGAGATAGTTCTGATCTCAAGCTCAGACTCTATAAACTGATGGGAATAAATGACAGTCTCAAAAAGTCATAAGATTATCTTATCTCGTTACATGTTAAGAGTATGTTAATGGCCCAGATTACCAATAAAGCTGTAGATGTAGTCATTGAACCAAATTTTTAGAAATAGCAAATTTGTCCTTTAGTTTGCCAAAACCATACTTATTTTATTTATTAAAGTATTCCTACTATTAAGTAGGAATTGACATAAAATTTGTAAACTCAGAATAGATTTCTATAGACCTTCAGATTTATGAGATTAGCCTTAATGTTGTAGAAATTAAATAAAATAATGATAATCTGACTCTGTCGTTTACACCCATATCATCTAATTCTTATTTAATGGGATTCTAACTTACAATAGAAAAACAGTACTTAATTTCAAAGTATACTTTTTCATCTGTAATGTGAATTTAGAAGATTTGTTAAATATATGGCTCTTTCAAAATTTGTTTTTATATTTTGAAGTTTAATTTTCGAATTATTTTTTGTATATTTATCTGAGTACATCTATAACACTGTATATCTTTCTATACTAACCTCTCTCCTCAATAAAAAAACATCATTAGGATCAGGGATATGAGGTAAAATGAGTTATTTCCCTTTAATGACCAAAATTTGGCAGAGGACAACATGGTGACAGTAATATTAATTCTCTTTACCTTTAGTTTCTTTAGACCTGAGTATTCTTTTTAACTGGAAGTATGATTTGAATTTTCAATAATTTTTAGCTCACCTGAGCCGAAGGCTCAAGTGAGCTTTTCTGATCACATTGTGTCCGTCGTCCGTCCGTCTGTCTGTCCGTCCGTCTGACTGTCAGTCTGTCCGTCTGTCTGTAAACTTTTCACATTTTTGACTTCTTCTCAAGAACCACTGGGCCAATTTTGACCAAACTTGGTACAAAGCATCCTTGGGTGAAGGGGAATTTAGATTGTTAAAATGAAGGGACATATCCCCTCGCAAGGGGAGATAATCAAGAAAAGAGAAAAATAGGGTTGGGTCATTAAAAAATCTTCTTCTCAAGAACCACTGGGCCAGTAAAGCTGAAACTTATGTGGAAGCATCCTGGGGTAGTGTAGATTCTAAATTGTTCAAATCATGACCCCCGGGGGAAGGGCGGGCCACTCAAAGTTTTATATAGAAATATATAGGAAAAATCTTTGAAAATCTTCTTCTCAAGAACCACTGGGCCAGAAAAGCTGAAACTTATGTGGAAGCATCCTGGTATAATGTAGATTCTAAATTGTTCAAATCATGACCCCCGGGGGAAGGGCGGGCCACAATGGGGTATCAAAGTTTTATATAGAAATATATAGGAAAAATCTTTGAAAATCAAGAACCACTGGGCCAGAAAAGCTGAAACTTATGTGGAAGCATCCTGGTATAATGTAGATTCTAAATTGTTCAAATCATGACCCCCGGGGGAAGGGGGGGCCACAATGGGGAATCCAAGTTTTATATAGAAATATATAGGAAAAATCTTTGAAAATCTTTTTCTCAAGAACCACTGGGCCAGAAAAGCTGAAACTTATGTGGAAGCATCCTTATATAATGTAGATTCTAAATTGTTCAAATAATGACCCCCGGGGGAAGGGCGGGGCCACAATGGGGAATCAAAGTTTTATATAGAAATATATATGAAAAATCTTTGAAAATCTTTTTCTCAAGAACCACTGGGCCAGAAAAAGTGAAGCTATATGTGGAAGTATTCTGGGGTAGTGTAAATTCTAAATTTTAGGAATCATCTTTTTGGGGAATCAAAGTTTTACATAGAAATATATAGGAAAAATCTTTGAAAATCTTCTTCTCAGGAACCACTGGGCTAAAAAAGCTGAAACATATTTGCCAATTGAAGGATCATGGGGTAGTGTAGATTTCAAAATGTCTAAATTATGATCAGTGGGGTAGGGTGGGGATGCATTATGTATAACAAGGGGGAAATTTAAAGAACAGAATGGTCAAAGCTTCTCAATGGGCCTCTTGTTTGATTTAGTCTCAACTTGCTCAAGAATTTAGTACATCCCTTTCAAATTAAATTGCAACTGCTATCGTATAAGAACAGAATTGAAGAGAATAAAATTTATCACAAAATCTTTGTATTTTGATTGGCAGATGTAGTAGAATTGCTTCCAAACCTCAGATTTTCAACTTAAGTTTAAGTAGATTTGGTTGTGGAATTAATTCTTCTATTTTTCCTTTTTTCTATGAATTATTGCTTTGGATACCTATTTTACCATAGATTCTTCAATAACCAGTTTAAAAAAAACTAACTGCATCAAAGATATATCATACACAAACAGTATATACGTTTAGAACTCTGATTTCATTTTCTATGCTTGAATACATTAGATACCATACAAATACAGTGTGAGTACATTCAGGCCTTTGATTTTGATCACTTTATAATATTCAGGTGCCAGACAAGAATGCTTCAATGGAAAGTCTGGTCAGTACACTAACGCCCCCTGGTGGTGTTATACTAGTACTAACACTAGAGGCTAGTCACTTAGTATGCTGTGGATTCTACTAACTTCCACCAACCCTGTCCAAAACTATTTATAACTATATATAAAACCTATCTTGGTCAATTTGAGGTGCAAGTCTTGTTTCAGAAATGTTGGGTCCCATATCAAAATGAAGGTTTTATTCAGTAATCAATGTTTCCCTCTGGATAACTCAAGTTCCTTGTATTCTGCAACTTCTTATTTACTACATAAATAAAAGGTGATAGAAACGTGTCACATGGTCAGAGGTCAAGGTCAAAGTTTATAGTTTAGGATCTTTTATTATTGTTTAAATACAGTTTAGCTTATTATATGTTTGAAACATATGAACTTTTTATTTACTACATTGAAGTAGAAATATTTTAGGAAAGAGAATTAGGAATCACAGGTTACCAGGCAGATAATACATTTTCTAGCTTCTGCAATTAATCACAATTAGCTCCTCCTATCAGTGACCAAGTATTTCTCTATATAGTATTATCTTTTAAAGGCTATTTTCTTCCACAATTAGAAGTTAGTTGATGTTCAGGGTTTCACATTATGCTTAAATCTTGATTAGTTGATGTCAGCATTAATACCATTGGTTTTGAGTTCAGTGAAACCAAGATTCAGATATCAAATTGATACAGACTAAGTTGGAATATAATATCTGCCTGAGCTTTTTACAAGTAGTATATTTTGTACATATACATATTCAGGAGGGGTGTAAATTAGCTTAATTTTGTGCACCTTGTGTGACATATTTTTGGTTCACCCCTAGTTTTAACTTTGTGAATTTTTAGCTCTACTGGTCAGAGACCAGAAGAGCTTATGTGATAGTAATGTGTCCGTCGTACGTCCGTCCGTCTGTCTGTCTGTAAACAATTTTTCAAAATGCTACTCCTCCTACAGTTTTAGTCCCATTTCAATATAACTTGGCACACAAGTAGACTACACTAAGATACATAAAATTTTCTGTGCATCGGTTTTTGATTTCGATGAATGGTGTTGTCATGGTTAACTAAAAATAGAAATTTCTTTGAAATTCTTTCAAAATGCTACTCCTCCTACAGTTTTGGTTCAATTTCAATATAACTTGGCACACAAGTAGACAACACTAAGATACCTAATTTTGTGCATTGGTTTTTGATTTCGATGAATGGTGTTGCCATGGTTACTAAAAATAGAAATTTCTGTGAAATTCTTTCAAGATACAAAGCTGCACTCCTCCTACTAAAAATAGAAATTTCTGTGAAATTCTTTCAAAACGATTTCAATATAACTTGGCACACAAGTAGACTATATGAAGATACATCATTCTGTGCATCAGTTTTTATTTTGATGAACGGCAAGGATCATTTTTCTATTTATTGCTGTTTTAATGTTTCAAGTCCCAACTGCTACTTTTCTCTTCCTTTGTTTTAAGTATAAACCAGTAGAGCTACCGTCTCAACAGAGACTTCTGGTTGTAGTTACTGTCAATGAAATACCAAAAAAAAAAATTAGTAAACCTTTGAGAGGATTAACTTATACAATATAATGAAATGTAAGAAGTTATTTAATTGCATAACAGCAAATTAATTTTGCTCTTTCTTAGTTACATGACAAGATGGGGGTATGTGAAGTACAACTTCTCTAACTTCAGTCAAGTAACTCTTTCTAAGCTTATGGCTGTTTCCATTTCATGATGACTATGCATTTATCATGTACAGTCCAATATTGCATATATCATGATATAGTACAAGTAAAAATATACCATTCCATAAATATAAGAAATGAAATGCATAAGTTTGCTCAAGAATATTTTATTGAAGAAATAGCTATTAGTGAACATCTCAGCAGAATTATACATTAAGAAAATATCTCTTAGAGTAGACACCATAATTAAGATGGAAAGCTTGTTAGATATGACTTGCACTTAAAATATCTTTGCTGTTCAGATTGAGAAATGACACTAGAGACATGATGTTCCAGTAATACTCTCTGTAATCCATCATAATTCAGATTGTTCAGTTTCTTTTGCTTGCTGAATTGTAGGTAGAAACTGTTTGCATGACAAGGTCAGCTATTGATTGTAGTTAATGCATGAACTCAAATGACCAGACATTCCTGATTCCTGGAGGGGTGGGGATGGGGGGGATAGGGAGCACTCAAAGTGATTCTGGAATAAATTATAACTAAGTAATATACTGCCACTGTATGGCTAGAATTAAGCTGAATATAAGGACAATTTTCACATTAAAAGTTTTAAAAAATCTATTTTATTGAGTCACAATATTAATTTGTAAAGGTTTTTTTAGTGAAATATTTAAATACAAATTCAAAAGCATCCAACGATAATAGGAAAGAAATATCACACTACACACACTCTCCAGTACAGTAAATATCAAAACAGTGTATTTTATTCATACTCACTTGTATCAAAAAAGTATACACATTGTGTATCTGAAGTTAAAAGAATAAGTATTTATACTAGGTAAATATACTGACATATATTAATACCATGTAGATATTATGTATAAAATAAATGACCCTCCCTTTATTATAGCTCATATCATATGTCTTCCACAGTTAATGCATCACATACTGTACTGATCAAAGCATGAGCAAGTGGTCAATGTGTAATGAAATGAAATTTTATTGCTTTAATTATGGAAATGGTAATTGGTGGTCTTTTATGGTAACAATAATATTTATGATGAGTGGTAAATTGAAAAAAAATACTTGTTCAAGCATTTGCTGTTTTTCTTTTAATAACACTTTTAAAAAAAATTACACCATAAAATTTTATACCTTTTCCAATGCATGTTCCATAATTGAGCTTAAGTACAAGAATTGTGCTCTTAACTTTGACTACACAACAATCTGATATTGTTTATACAAAGTACTTTTTCATCTCACATAAACAATTCATTAAGTTTTATAACATGGCTTTTGAAATCAGTATTATATCCTCTCAGAAGTTGGTTTACAGTCCATGAAAGAGAGCACCAATATAAATCATCTATAAACCTGTTGATCTCTTGCAGCTTGCTGGCTCAGACCTACCATTCTTACCTCCAAAGAAAGGAGACCTTTTCCTGGTACCCAATGGAATCAGACCAGTAATGCAGAGAACAGCCATTGAGGTAAAGTCTGGTTTTCTCTGATGTATTATAAAGAAAATAAATATTTTATGAATTTTATTTGTTGATGGATAAAACATTATGACAAAATTTACTAGTAAGAATGGCTTAATATCATCACAGTAAAACTGACAGTGGGTAATTCCAAATATTCAAGCACTTGGGATTTATATTACTTTGATGGCATGCATCTAAAATATTACTTATATATGCTGGATTATTTAAAAACAAAGTGTAAATTCTCTGCATTAATTTTCTAAGATGTGTGATTTGGGTCACACCCTGACCCCATATGATTAAGAAAATTATGCTTTTGATTTTACAATCCTTATTTATATAATTTTTTACCACCATTTTGTAACAGGTTCTATGCTGGGGTGTGAGAAACATGCAGAAATTCCAGCTGGCAGCAGTTACCTCCCCTAGTGTGGAATTTGAATGTGGAGGTCATGTGATGGAATCCAGCATTATCAAAAACACAAAAAAGAACCCCAACTTTAATGAGAATGTCTTGTTCTTTGATGTTGTGAGTATATTATTATCACAATTAAATACTGAAAAGCAATGATATTTATTGAAAATACTGAAGTATATAAATGTTCGATACTGTAAACCAACTTTCTCATGTTGCATATAGATGTTGCCCCGTGAAGAGCTGTACATGCCTCCCATGAATATAAGGATCCGGGATCACAGACAGTTTGGGAGGAAGCCCACGGTAGGGATCCACGTCTTGAAGTCCCTAGAGGAGTACCGCTGTGACCCAATCAGACGCGAACAGGAGGAGGAAGAGGAGGGGGTGCAAGGTAAATCTGGAAATCAAGGCTGGTGTCTGTGTCTAGGATTAACCTCATGGCTTGTGTGTTTGTAGGGTAGGCAGTAGGGTAACCAAACCTAGATTAGAATTTTTGAAGTCTTCTAGGTTGAGACAAAATTCACTTTCTGGGTACGTTGTACAGATTTTGCAAAATTTAATCAATCAGAGTTGTCATTAAAAATTCAATTTAGAAGAATCATATGGTGAAAGAAAAAATATCTGTGGAATCCGACAATGTTTAAGGATATCTTTTTCAAACATAGTATTTAACATTTTGTGTTTGTGTGTTTCTTGATCTTTCTGTCTGAAACTTTAAAACTTTGCTTAAAACTTTTAAACTAACTTGGAAAGAGTTCTTAATTTAATACAAAGATAATTTTTGACCAGAGGTGTGTTGTGGCCCTGAATCAAGGTCAGTTAGACAAGGTTAAAAATAAAAAGGGATAGAAATGTGGATTTGCTTCTGATTTCATAACTCTGTAAAAGAGAAAACCTCTTATAAGTGCTTCGAGTGAAAAAGAAAAGCCAAAAGCTGATACAAATGTAGGCTATTTTCAGAATGTCATAACATATAACCAAGGTCATTTGATAAGAACAAACTACATAAATTAGAGTGAAATAATCTTTTCAATGGAGAAACATAAGCTCAAACTAGACACAATAGTGAAGATCAGTAGCAATGTAATAGTTCTTGGCTGAGAATTAATTGCAATAGGTCTAAGTCCAGTTTATTTCCCCATGCTAGGGGTATTCCACGAATCTGCACTAGTTTCACTGATAAGTTTACTTGCCATATTTGATTAATATTACTAATGTTATTGAATTGTGGACACAAGTTTCTTATTATGTCATAGTTTTCAAGACTTTAAATAATAAATTAGGACAGGTGTGACTCTGTATTTAAGTAATTAAGACAGGGAGACTTACTGCATGGTTTGGTGACTTAAATATAATTCCCTTTTTACCATGAGCATATAATACTATTATTATACCTCTACTGATTTTTCACTATATAAAAGTAAATCGATATATTTTGCTGATTTCCTGAAAATCACTGTAAATAAGCCGATTCCCTGCAAAACAGACTGATTCCCTGCAAAAAAAGTACGTTTTTTTTATGAACTGATACACACCTATTCGGAACGCTTGACATTTTCTTTCAACTTACGACAAACTTAGAAATGTTCCGAATAAACTCATGAATATTCATTAGTAAATCGAAATGCATCGCGAGTCAACTGGTCCCATATCAATCAAAAAGAACCAGTCTACTGGAAGCGAACGACAACAGAAATGGCGTGCTCAAATTTGCGTAATGTTACTTTCGATTTTACTAAGTAAAAACTTGGACAATGAACTGATTTATTGATGAAATGGAATTCCTTTCATGACTGTATTCTGTTTTGTCGAATTTTTTATCTATTCCTGTTGGAATTAAACATTGTTGCTGAATACAGTATTGAATATAATTTTTTTCAAATGTCTTGTTTGTATTGGTATAATAAAACAGTTAACGTACATTTCATTTCGGGAGTCAGCAAGATTCCAGTTCCCCTTGAGCAAGCCTATTTCCCCCGGTGCAAGCGCCTCGGGAAATAGACTTGCTCTTGGGGAACTGGAATCTTGCTGACTCCCTCAACGATATACTTTAACTGTATAATGATGGAGACCCTTTTTTCCCCAACTCCTTCATGGTTGTAGTACATTTCAATATTTTGGATTACTAATTCACCCTTGCTAGCCAGTACCTTGATTTCGTTTCTCTTTAGTTTGGTTTAAAATTCTATCATTGGTATCAGAACTTTTAGTACTTTGATTCCTAAGTTTCTCCACTGGCGCTCAGAACATTTAGTACTTTAATTCCTTAAGTTCTTCCATTGATTATCAGAACTTTTAGTACTTTGATTCCTAAGTTCCTTCATGTGCTATCAGAAATTTTAATAGTTTGATTCCTAAGTCCCTCCATTGGCTATCTGGACTTTTAGTCCTTGGATTCCATAGTTCCTCCATTGGCTATCAGAACTTTTAGTACTTTGATTCCCTAGTTCCTCCTTTGGCTTTAAGAACTTTCAGTAATTAAATTCCTTTAGGTAGTTCCTCCATTGGCTATCAGAACTTTTAGTACTTTGATTCCTAAGTTCCTCCTCTGGCTATCAGAACTTTTAGTACTTTGATTCCTAAGTTCCTCCTCTGGCTATCAGAACTTTTAGTACTTTGATTCCTAAGTTCCCCTTTGGCTATCAGAACTTTTAGTACTTTGATTCCTTAGTCTCTCCATTGGCTATCAGAACTTTTAGTACTTTGATTCCTTAGTCTCTCCATTGGCTATCAGAACTTTCAGTACTTTAATTCCTAATTCTTCCTTCAATTGTCTTAAGGGGTCAGCAGTTCTGAGATCACTCAGTCTGAACTTGAGGGTCTGATGTCCGCGGCAGTCGATCGATACAAAGACATCCAGTCCTCGGTGTCTCAAGTTGACTCCGCCCACACCAGCTATCAAACAGGTCGGTATTTTCCATTTGCGAGGTTTTCTCCTGGTGTAGCCATGCTTGTTAGATCCTGAATGCATTGTGGGAAATCATATTTACCCAGGTACTTTTCATGTTGAGGTCCTACCTTAAACTTCAAAGTAAACATAAAACAAGTTTATATTTGAAATGAAAATTTGAAGATGCAAGATTTCTTCAAAAAGACATGAACCTTTATGGACCTCAACAGGTAAACATACATATACATCAACTTTAATTAATTTTAGACACTAATTTTGGCCATGTAGCAAACTGTTAGAGAGTAAATTTCCTTTTAGGCAAAATATCTGTATTTAGAATTGGATTTTTTTTTTCAAATGCTGGTCTCCTTTATCTTTACTTAAATTCCTATTCCAGATAATGTTTTGTTGTTTTCTGTTTATTTCATAGAGATTGAAATTCATTCTTAGTAGTTAACACCTTCCCTCATTTGATGGATACAAATAATTGTTCATACAGTCAAACCAGCTTAAATAGGCATTTGGGGACCTAAATACACTTTGTTGATGACTAGTTGCTTAATATGTAGATATTATATTTTTATTTCATTTAAGTCATACCTTGGAGGAATACATAAAATGACCAATGCAATGATTCCATGCTACTTTTGGAATTCAGAAAAATGTAAGAAACAAAAATTAATCTGAACAAAGAGAGTTTAAGGCATTCTTCAGATGTGAGATGTTCAATGTGGACATAGATAAAGGATTTGTACGAATTTATTCCTATTCTGAAAAGAGTAAAAATAGGAGTCAAGGTCACTTTTGAAATCAAATCGTCATCATCCGCAGTTGCTGCCCCTGGTAGGAAGCTGATAAGTGTCGGATTCTAGATTATTGATTTCTGTTGAAAATTAAAACATGTGTGATCCCATAGTTTCCTCTGTAGATTCTCTCTTAGTGACTTTTTAACTCTATCATTGACAACTAAGCTTTTTCTCTTAGCTGCTGTAGAACTTAACAAAAAGTACTTCACTGTAGAAAAACAATATTTCTATCTGTATATGCTTTTAATATTTTTCTCAAACTAAAAATTACATCATACTAAAATGCTTCTTTAGTAGCAACATTACTTCTCAAAAGACACTGATAATTAAAACAAATCTTAACGACCGCAAAGTAACCCAAAACTATATACATATGATGGATGTTAATCTAACAAATACATGTACATCCAACCTTGTATTTTACATCCATGATATTCTGTGTAACAATGCATAATATAACCCAATGCTTATTAATTCATTGCAGGAGAAAATCTTGTTTATGTGAAAATACTGATCTGTTTATATGCTCTTGTTTATATTTGTTACATTATGTTATTTCAGTTTATAATTTAGAACAAGTATGATTGTTGATTTTTTTCGTTCAAAAATCAAAGAACTATATGCGGTATTAACCAACATTTGCCCCCCAAAATCAAACTTTGATGGAGTAATATTTAATTAAGTCCTTAAACAGGGGAGTATATGCTGACTTCAAAGCACTGAATAATTTCATAATTAATGACGTCATATGTACGTAATGACGTCACAAATATGACGTAAATTTCAGTTTTTTATGAATTTTGCAGAAAAGTGTACTTTTCGATATTTTAAATTCACCGAGCGCATGTGTGTTAGGATTAAAATTTTGATATAATGTGTAGAATGATAATATCAATGAAATATGTCAATATTGTTTGAACACACATGATATAAATGTTAAATTGTTGAAATTTTGTCCATTTTGTCCTCTTTCTGAAAAAGGATATAAAAGGACTAGTTTGTGACGTCATAAAAACAGAAATTGTGAACACACTGCCCTGGAACTATAATATTTTCTGTTAACTTATATTTCTCGTACAATTTATTGAATTCAGCACATTTCAGGAAGTTTTCAAATTTTGACTTTTGTGGAGGCAAACATATGCAATATACCGCATATAGTTCTTTTCACTAAAATTCCAAACAAGAGAATGATTTATCATTGTGTTTTACATGTAATTTAGTTATAATTCATTATTTTGTGCTCTTGTAATATGTTTGTCATGTTCATGGTTTCAGGAGTTGACTTATCAAATTGAATGTAATAATAAATAGTGGGTTCAGAGGTCAGTTGGTTTGTCACATGATAATGGTGAAATTTGATTGGCTGATTTGTAGGAGGACTTGTGAATGGGGCCCGCAGTGGGGAACATGTGATTGAGATGCCAACGGAAGAAAAGAAGAAAGAGGTAACAATCAAATGAAAAAGAAAAATATAAACATGTAATAAAAAATCACTATAATAATGTAGCTCTGATAATATTAGCTATCAAACTATTTTAATAAATATTTAATTGCTGTTCCTGAGTAGAAAGTCTTCTATTTTTCTATCCAATACAGTTTAATTAAATTACCTTTTACTGCTGGAGAATTTACTCAAAGAAAATTTGGTTCAATCTCTATTAAATTGCTTATAATAGGATGTTTTATTCTCTGTTTATATAATAGATATATCAGAGTTAATTTAGATCCCACTTTATCTATGTTTTATAATTATAGTATTAATGTGTCTGTTATGATTTATAATAATGAATTGCAAATTTGGTCATGTATTATTTGAAATATACATTAATTGTTAGTATATCATGATAATATATTAGCTTTGACACTATTTTCATATATCTCTTTATAAAAAAAAATTACACATTATACAGGGCTCGACATTAACTTTTTTCCTACTTGTCCATTCGGACAAGTGACCAAGACATTTACTTGTCCGAAATTCAACTTCACTTGTCCGAAAATTTTCAATAAAGTTCAATAGTTTCAACTTGAAAATTAAAATTAAGTCCATTTATTTACACATGTCATGGGCTTGGTTGATTCTTGATGTTATTGTTACAGACAGATAAAAC